CCTTTTTTGTAGATCTCATCAAGACACATCTTTTATTGTAATGTGTGTAATTAACATTTTTTACTCTGATGCTTACTTTTGGAGAGAAATGCAAATTTGAAAAAATAAAATAACTGTTTAACTTTTCAATTCAAAACTTCCCAAAAATAAAAACTCACAAAAAAATAATAATGAACTTTTTTGTAGAGTTTTTTTCGCCATTTTGGCCCGTGTATGCGAAAAAAGTAAGTAAAAAGTTGGAAAGTAAAAAACATTAAAATGACAATTTAACCAATTTTTCCAATTCTGTGTCTGTTTGAAACAAATTCCCCAGATGTTATGAACTTGAATTATGTTACATACAGGATGTCCTGATTATTATTTCCGATATTCAGACAGAAATTACGGTAACAACACGTATTTTTACACTACAAGGTAGCTCGCTCTCACTTTCGGCATTGTTTCAACCTAAAGCAACGGCACCTCCGTGTAGTTTACACAACAATACGTAGTTAGTGAAATTTGGTGCGGAAGTCACGTAGAATTGGAGTGAAATTTGTTGTCTGAAATTATTGTTCACGATTTAAATTTCCCTCGTCTTAATTTAGTTAAATTGCTTATCACGAGATAATACAATAATACAATTTAAAACCAAAATGGATGGCGTTTTCGATTTGGAAGTATTTAAAAAATGAAAATAAAGAAGAATATAAAAGCGGCCCTTTTACGTGTCTGCGCTCTTGAGGTATCTCCGAGAGAGTTCTAATGTAAAATAATTGCAATTCCGTTTGCAATCGTATTAAGGAAGAAGTTAAATTAACTGTGCAACATTATTTTTATTTTAGGACGTGCCTTTTGACTTTTTATCTCGGCACAAACAAAAACTTTACAAATGTCTGTGGGAATTGCGTAGTTATCCTTAATGTAAGGAACAACTTTCAGAACAAAGAATTTTTCAACTGTGACAAAATATTCTCCGCCGAATTTCTGCTTGATTTACTTCCCTTTCTTTTTTTAAATACCGAAAGTGTTCTACTAAATTTTAGTAATCATCGAATAGGGGTGGTTCTGAAGCGTTATCATATTTGCGAGGTTTCCCTCTTTACTTTGTAACTCGGGTTATTCGCTAAATCTGCAGGTCGCTTGCTAGTGTCATGTTGATGGACTATTGTGTGATAACAATAGGTTTATCACGCCCTTGTGTAGCTACTGTCTCTTTGTGCTTCCTTGCTTAATATAACATTCACTGTGGACCGTCATGACACAAATCATCTGCTAAACTCACCTCTATCTTGCCTCCTTTCAACTTTACTACCCGCCGAAATTAAACGCATTCCGGTAAATATTTGTTCGGAAAACCTTTCTCGAAAAACAAATTCTTGAACTTAATCAAAATACTCGCGCAACCCGAAATAACAAAACTTTGTTTTCCAAAGCAGAAACAAACAGACATATAATAAGAAATAAAATCGTCGGAGCATTATGACCGAACCCTGACAGCCCTAATGATGTTTTAACGGAATCGTTAAATCGGCAAAGCCCACATTAAAATTTGTCTCATTTTCTCGTAACTTACCTACATTAAAATTAAAGGTTCAGTGAGCAATTTGTAATTAACCGGTGGTGTAGATAAATAATTTGAAAATTATCGATTCGTAACTCAATTAATTATTACTTACTAGAAAATCCAATATTCCAATAGCGTATACGCTCGTTTCCAAATGTGAGATTACAAAATGTAACAAACAATTCAAGTTTTTATACTTTCATTTCTCTCGTTTCAACTTTTTCACGTTGTTTTTATTATTTGTGGTTTATATTAAAAACAGACATTCAGAAATTGGAATTTTTATTAACATTTCGGGAGCAACAGTACTTTAATCATTTTTGCCGTTCCCATAGGGTCGCAAGGCTCAAAGATGTGCACTATGACCTTTGCTAAGCTTCTTGTTCGGCGCGATCTTTATACTGTATGTTTCACACTAAGTCGCTTTTCTTCGGCAACGTAATGGAGGCGAGCAAGGCGATATTAGGGATGCTTAGGTAGGAATCTTATAAAATGCCAATATATAATTATTTTATTTTATTTTACTTCATTAAAAATAATTTTCCTATGGCATGTAGTGGGCTCGTGCTAGACCATTTTAAGAACATATGAATGTATAATAAATTGTAGTCAACCTGGACAACTGGACAACCTGGATGTGATGTCGGTGGAACGGACGGACTCGAGCGCCACCAGAAGTCTGGCCAAGGTCGGTGATTTCGGAACGGTGTCGGAGGTTTGGCACAATCCTAGGCACAATCGGTAGTCACAGGTAGCCAGTTGAAGAAACAGCTTAGTCCAGAATTCGGCGGACCGATACCTCCAGGAAAGCAAATAATAGTATATTAAGTATGGAGAACGGTAAGGGATTTTTACCGTTCGAAGACAATTGTTTGGAGGAGGAGCGAAGCGACGACTCCAATTATTGTCTGAGAACGGTAACCCTTAACGTTCGACGTGCTTATAACATTTTTTGCGCGATCGAAATTAAAATTTATGCAACCAATATAAATATGCACTAAGAAATTAACGAGCAGAATAAATCGAAATGATCGAAGTGGTATGGTGTATATCACTAGGTAACCAGTTTATTTGTCAAAATTGAAGTTAATAATTTCATAAAAATGTGCATGTGTCTGATGTAGTTTACTAGCTTTGAACTTCCTTTATGACTTTATGAGCGTCTTGCTATAGGAAACAACAGCACAAATTGTACGTTTAATGTACCTAACAATAATTAAAGATTAAATGTAATGTAAGACTGTTGATTTTTAAAAAGGCGTCGGTAAGTATTTTTGCTGTTCTGTTTTTAGATCGGTAAGTAATTTTGACGTCGTCGTAATCATAGCAACTGGTAAATTCTACCTACTGTCATGGAAACACCCATGGTAAATAGTCAGAAATGACCGATCGCGCAAAAAACATAATTACGACACACGGACACGGTAGTGTTTGCCCTAACGGAAACGCAAGCAACAAAATGTAAATTAATTAGTCGTAGCTACAGGAAATCAAATGCAGGAAAATCAAAGCAATACCCTGCTTATAATTTGCGAAAGAAAAGTTTCAAACGCTTACCTTTAAAATTAACGGTACAGTGTCTTAAATAAAATTTCAAAACTGTCCAAAAATCCTACGATTCGGTTAAATACAAATGCAAAAGATCCCCTTTAAACAACGGCTTTACCTTTTATAAAATTTGGTCATTTCATGGAGGAATCAACTAATTAATTGTGCTGCCTGCGATAAACATAAAAATCTGTAATTGTAGCTCAATTAAGCGCCTTTTTAATGGTACAATACCTAATCCACTTGAACGAAATTTGCTGCAACTCAATTAATTAACTTAACGGTTAATTATACTTAACTAAATTGCCGGATTAAAATTTTTAAATTCGGCAGTCGGGTAATGCCCATTTATTGCCTGCAATTTTCTGTAAAAGTTCTGCGATAATGAGATAAACTTCACGACCTTGCAGCTCTAATGCTCGTTTTTGCTTAACACTTCGAAACTAAAATCTGTTAATAATTAATTAACGGAACTGAAATTCTAAAATAGTAATTTTTCCTTTGCTTACCCATGCAGAGGGCGCCGGATGGTAAAAAAATAATTTACTTATCTCTAGAAAAATTATCAATTATGATTTCCTTATCAGCGGTTACAGGGCTCTACAAATTAAAGCATTACTTTTACCTTCTATTTCGGGGGGTCATTAAAGCTGGTACGGTGTGTTCATAAATTCCGTTATAAAAACCGAGTACTTCGTTACAGTAATTCGAGTGTAGAATGTTTTACCGCTTGGAAAGCTATCTGGATATGCGAGTATAATATTGTATTGTAGTGTACGCAACCATGTCATACGTGTATTGTGTGTTGCCTACTTTTTAGAATTTTTGATACAATGGCGGCTGGGCTCCTATTGTCGTCACTATGTCTATAAAGTCACTGTACATAATGGTACACTCGGGTGGTCTCTAACGGCAAAATAAAGAACTAAAGTAATAACTTATCGAATGAACGTTGGGAAAGGGACATTCGCAGAAGTGGATGAAAACAAAAGTAGAGCGAATACTTGGGTTCAGCATTCAACACTGATATGTGTTCTTAAATGATTTTGCCAACTTATCGCGGTGGCCTACGTGCTCAAAGACGCGCACAGTTTTTCGGAGTTTAAAAATTGAAAAGCCATTAACCAAATAGTCTTAAAATTGCACACGAACATAAAAGTTCAAGGAAGCTTGTGCTTTTGCGGTATATATTTATGCCTATTCATTAATTTATTATGAAGCAAAATAGGTTTCAAATTTAACATTATTTTATGAAGTCAATTTGTCTTAGTTGATTAATTCGTACTACTGTTTGGTTTATTTAAAAGCTAATGGCAACACGCAGTGTGTTGTTTTTGAATTTACATTGAAATTGCCTTTTGAACCTTTTTACCTACTATTATTACATTTAATGACATGTTTAGGTAATTCGGTATAAAGCCAAGCTTTATACTCTCATAAAATTCGTTACACTCGTTTTAGTAATAATTAATATAGTGAACGAATCAAACACCTTTGTGAAACATTAATGACGTTGCATACTGGACGAATAAATGCATTTTTCTGACTATACAACCAACCGTTCCTATAATAAATCCAATTTATGTCGCAATTGAAATGTAATGAAAAGTTGTGACAATCGTCTTTATGAATGTTACAAACAAATCATCGCCAATTACGGCGATTTGCACACTATAATTATTATCGTCGGGCTTGTATTATAATATACTCACGCCCTTTACACGTACATGTAATATAATTGAAGTTGTTAATTTATGTAGACATTACATGAAAATGCTTTTGCTCTCTAATCCGGTAATAAATTTCGAGATAAATCTATATCTCGTATAATTTATGCCCGAAAATTTATTAATAGATAAACCGTGATTCTCGCAAGGGAAATGAAGAGTTTTCTTTTTTGTTGCAGCCGATAAAGTACCGCCCGGATTCCCGCAAATATCGCAACCGCCGGCCACGAGTAAGGTCGTCGAAATTGGCCATAGTACTGTACTTACTTGCGGCGCCACTGGTAGTCCTCCGCCTCGAATTTCCTGGGTTCGTAATATGCTTCCTATAGATACCTCTAACACCCCAAGATATTCAACGAGGGACGATATGCCAGGTAAGGATTACTTTTTTTGTTTTTGATTCAGTTTGACAACATTGTAGCTGAAAGAGGGGGGTAATTTTTTTCGGGTAAAATAAACATTCTTGAAGAAAAAGAAACTTTAGTAGTTTTCAAAAATTAATTCTTTACAGAATTTCTTATAAAAAGTACACTTTTACTTTGACATCGATCAAATTTGTTCCAAAATTTCTTTGATATCAATTCAGGGACCTATATTGTTACCGGATGAGTCGTAACCAGTTAATGGCGTGACAACGTTACTACCGCCAGTCTGACGGACGATAACGAGCGATAACACAAACTTAATATCTTTTACGTGGCCAACAAGGCTGATTCAGATTTGTTCGTCATGATGTCCATGAAGCAGCTTGCGAAACGCTAATATGCCGTGGAAATCATCGTAAGAAATCGAGTGTGTAGCCGGTAGTTACGTTCATTTAAGGAAAGAATTTTCTGGAGTAACAAAGAAGAGAAATTCTCGCCAAATGTACAAATTAAACGTGATCAATGTGGAATAAAACCATACCTAATTAAATAAACGTCAATTACACATTCGTGTAAGTAAACTGACTCCTCTTTCCGGCAGTAGTTGAACCTATTCAGATTGTCGTTCACGTTTTCTCAATCAAAAACGCCTATCACTATTTGATCAAGTTTTGTGTGGAACTGTGAAATCAACGTCCGAATTCCGAATCCACCGTTTTTATTGTTTGGCACAGGTGGCCTAGCGTTCCAAGTTGAACTAAACAAAGGGTAGTTTTACTGCTGTATAAATAAGGTAAATTTTTTTATTTCATACTATCTAGTAATCGCCGCTTTCCCAGACTGATTTGAATCTGGTAAATCGTATTTTACCAGACTGAAAATTTTTACCAGACTGGAAATTTTGACTAGCAACCGCAACTGACATCCATCTAAACGTATGCATTGATATTTGTCAAACTACTGTCAGATCAAACAAATCAAGTGACTTTTGCTTTTATTTTAATGTGTACCTACAACATTCTACTCAAAATGGTATTTTAATAGAAATAGAGCAGTAAGTATGAAATAAAATGTTTTACATTATTTGTATGTCAAATCAGTTTACGTTACTCGTTTCGAAATTCCTGCCTCAGCTACGCTTCGGCAGTAAACATCTCACTCGTTAACGTAAACCTTGATTTACCATACTCATATGTAAATAACTATTTCCATTGTAGTGAATACATACCAATTCCTTTAAGGATATTGATGGTTCAGCTTCAGAATATTGTCGTATAAATTAGTAAAGAGTTTAGGAAAGGAAATGGATTTGTATGCATGTGTACCTAGTAGCTAAAAGATCATAAACTAATTAGACAAATTCTCCTTGTACCGGGTGACCCAATAAGACTGTTCCTCGGCCATATCTCGAGAACCGTTCGTCATATGACGTAGGGGTAAAAAAAAATTAGTGAGTAAATCAGTTATGAAGGATCGCTGGAAAATATTTCTAAAAATGACCGCCAGAGGGCATAACTGCCATCTTAAATTTTAAAATTGTATTTTCTTTAAATTTCGCATAATAAACTAAGCATTCTTTTTTCACATTTTTAAAGAGAACCAGTTTATCTATCATTTTCGTAAAAACAAAAACTCACTTATTTCAAAAACAAAGATGGCGTGAGGCGTTCAATTGTTTTTGCAATAACCTGCTTTAACTTCTTAACCGTTTGACCGATTGTAACAAATTTCGTATCGTTGAAAAGGGCATTCCTTGGACAACAAGAATCAACCATAATATAGTTAATTTAGTTGAATCCTTCTCCGCCAGGGGGCTAGTTTTGACACTGTGATCCAAAATCGTAGAAAAATCAAAAAAATCAAATGGAATGATATGACTTTTCCTTTATGAAAAAGTAGCCAAATAACGCCCAAAGAGGCCAGTGAAAACCGTTTTTCAAAATCTCGTTCCTAACTTCAGATATTGGGAAAATGAGATTAATTAATTAATTAAAATGCCTAAATTGTATTTTATTTGACGTATTTCCTGTATTTGTCGATGGCGCGAAAGATTATTTCGAAAAGGACCCTACTACAAATGAAACACGATGCATTATAAAATAATAACAGCCGTAATTTGTAAATTATTCTGCTGTGTTTACGCATTCAGAAAGTGTAATTTTTTGAATTTGTAATCTCTTCTAAAATGCAGATTTCTAACCAAGAAGCACCTTAATATGCTGGCGGCGATGGTTCCTGGTGGATTCGGATAACGCAAATAAAAGATGCGGGCAGCGATGGTCGCATTTTGAAAATACTCAAAATATATCGCCAGCATATTAAATGCTTCTTGGTTAGAAATCGGCATTTTAGAAAAGATTACAAATTAAAAAAACTGCACTTTCTGAATGTAAACACAGCAGAATAATTTACAAATTGCCGCTGTTATTTTATAATGCATCGTGTTTCATTTGTTTGATTTTCCAAGGCCTACCTAAAAGTGTAGGGTGCTTTTCTTTCGCGCCATCGACAAATACCGGAAATACGTAAAAAGTAAATGTAAGATACAATTTAAGCATTTTTATTAATTAATTAATTAATCGCATGGCCCAATATTTGAGGTTAGGAACGAGATTTTGAAAAACGGTTTTCAGTGGCCTCTTTGGATGTTATTTGGCTACTTTTTCATAAAGAGAAAGTCATATCGTTCCATTTGATTTTTTTAGGATTTTGGGTCATAATGTCAAAATTACGCCCTGGCGGAGAAGGATTCAAGTAAATTAACTATATTTTGATTGATTCTCATTGCCCAAGGAATGCTCTTTATATGACGAATGGCTCTCAAGATATGGTCGAGGAACAGTCTTATTGCGTCACCCGATATATCTCCGGCATTTGCTACGAAACAAAATCCTAATAATGACTCGTAATTAATCACTTAGGAGACTCAGAATCCGTAAATCCCAAAGAAATCAATTACACAAATTTTGTTTAACACCTGTATAAATCGTGGGCATAAATAAAAGATAATCTGAACATCTAGATCGTAAAATGGGTTCAAATGAACACACAATTAATTGACAATGACAAAAGAATTTATTTCGAAACTCAAACGCAATAAATAATCAAGAAAAACCTGAAAAGGGGCACAAGTCCGTTACAATTACCCCATACGCAGGTGGTCACTACAAATAAACAAAGAAAGTGTTAAAATTACTTAGTTTTTCAAGCAGAAATCCCTTAATCTGGTCGTGCGATATTCTGACGCACTAATACACGAATACAAAAACACTCGCTGAAAGCTTCAAGAAACTTCACCACTTTCCAATTCCATTGAAACAATAATAACACGTCACAATTATTAATTTTCAATGGGATGGCTGTTCAAACGGGTAACAACTTTGACTTCTATTGCACAAAAGCACCTTGTAACAAGGTCTCGCTATGTATTACAAACTATTTTATTAACAACGTACCTTCTTTCGTAAACGAATAAACCACATTAGGTACTGCACTGATTAATTCAATATCGACGAAACTACGTTTTTAACACGAGACAGCTGCGTTACACTAATCAGTACCCTTTCTGCCTTATTTTTACTATTTAAGGTAAACCACCATTATTACTCCATCGAACTCCTACTTCCACGAATTGCAATACATCGCAAATCAGAACACGTCGCACGTCTCCACTTACGATTAAATTAATGCGCTCGCATCTCTTGTTATATCTTTTAACGACGATAAGGATCACGTGCATTAATTAAACTATGTCCGATAACATTTCTTATCGCAAAACGACCAGATGGCACTTAAAACGTGCTCGACCAGATGTTTAACATTCTTCTAACACGTAATTTTTATATCTTAAATTTTAAATGAACAAATTTACAGGAACACGAACAAATTTAAACAAAAATTAAGCAATTAAAAAGAAAGCTAAAACGGACAAATAGAAACTATAAAATAACAAATTTCGATGAAATAGACCAATTCCGTGCATATTCGTAAGATCCAGATTTAAAATAAATTAAAAACATTTACATTTGCTTTTTGTGTAAATGAAAGAACCGGATCTTTAGTTATTTTTAAAAGAATATAAGTTCGTGTCCTTAAATGTTTGGCGTACTTTTCGCAACAATTGCATGAAGTATAAAACATTCATATTGTTGCTATCAGTAATTGGAATCTACCATTCAGCGTAATACTGCAACGCTGCGTTAGTGAGATCAACAGAAAGCTCACCAGCAGCGTTGAAAAACAAAATGAGATATGAAAGTGGCTTCTTTTTTGTATTAGAAAATTTTTCTTTCATAAATTTTATATGCAGTGTTGGTTAGACGGTTGCGGCGAGATGTAATATAAGCTTGGTGCGCTTGGCGTGCATATTGATTTAGGAAACTCTCTTAGAATATGGAATATGCGGAATACCACAACAAAAACATAATTTATCCCCGACGAAAAAATTATTCCCGGCGCATCAGGTATATAACAAAGCCTTAAGGATTTTTATCAGTTTTAAGTGAGAGATTATTATGTGCAGGTAACAGAATAAAAATGCGGGGGAAGGGTAATGTATAACATCGAGATGAGCAAAGTAAGTAGTACGAAGAACCGACACTGCAGCTAATGGTCCCCAGGGAACCCTACCGGTAACACGCTATCGCCCGGAAACTAACCCGCTTTGGGAATTCCGGCAAACAAGCACTCCGGCCCGCTGTCACGTCACAATCACCTTCTCGAAGAATAACCGCAAAAGAAAGCAATAGGATATCAGTTTTTTTTCCTTTATATTCCTCCTGTTTTTTTTTTGTGTAAATCCTCCCGCCTGAAAATTTTACTTTCGCGACAATATCGCCCTTTGTATTTCCGCTTTCGCTGCCCTTTTCTGATTGTTTCTATTAAGAACCGTTCATTAATTGAAGTTGATCGAATTTTTATATGTTGAGAGGAGCTTAATGGATATCTGGAAATTAAGTTGCGAAGTTGTTATTGGAATTGCGAACTTTTTTTACTACAATTCGTCCCTTTCTCGGTTCATTCACACGATATCGACTTCCATTCTGTATGGAGTAGTTTTTACATCTCTAAATATAATATGGATTCGTGTTTAGTCTCCCAGAATTTTATTTATTGATGATTATTGCGGTTTAGTCGCTCGTCGGGGTATCATTTAGCTCTAATCTACTCTTGATATAGGTAATAGTTCAGTTCAAAATTTGTATGTGTATGTACGTCGATTTGAAATTGTGGAAAACTTAAGAGAACATGACCCAGAAACTTGATTCAAAAAAATCTTGACGATTAATGTACCTACCTACTCATGCGCAGGGTGCCCAATATCAAGTTTATTAATGTGTTTTGTTGAAATTTTAACCACAGATGCTTCTAGTAAACATAAACATATCGCATATAGTGAAAATCAGATGTGCCGATGTGCGCATGTGCAAACTGCGCAATGCCAACTTCCTTATTTATTTATTGTCTCTCTCTTGTTATTCCCATCTCTGCCACAGATCAAAAATTCACCTCAACTCAGGTTCGAATACCCGACCACCTGCCGGTGTAGCCCAACTTTCTACCACTGAGCCACACAGACGGTTATGGAGATAGTTCTTAGAAATTTTAATCATAAATGCTTCTAGTAAAGAAAAGTGTTGTTTAATGCATGGACAATGCGTTAATCTTACTCACCTTAGCTTAGGGCGAAACCCTTGTTACTTATTATGAAATCAAAGCAGTCATCCCCAAGTAGCAATCCAATAGAATCAACTTGTTCTTGATATCACATTTGTTGTAAAAATCATTGTATTTAAAACAGGAAAAAGAAGAAATGGTAACCGGCGATCAAAAATGAGTTGTCTTTGGAAGTTCAAGTTAGGTACGATTTTCCATGTACCTAAACAAAAATTCCAATGGTGAATCGGCAGCAACTCATTTTTGATCGCATTATATTATCTGCTATATTTAAAATACTAAAATACAAAATAGAGAATGCCATTTTCCACTTGGAATACGTATTTGAAAACATATGCTTTTGTGGTACGGTGTCCAAGTTAACTGGGTACCGCCAAAGAGTATATACTCTTTGGTACCGTATACTTATCCTCATAGTCCCTGATCATATATTAGTTGTGTTCCACTGTTAGGCCCCAGAGCATTTATAGGGACTTTTTCTTTCTATAAGGGTTTTATCACTAAACGAAAACAAATGAAACCCGCCTCAGCTACTAATCAGAGTTCTACTGCGATATTTCAGTGTGAGATGAAATCACTATCACCATAATTCAGGGACTCTTTTATACTGTTCATTGCGAAAACAAGTCACACGTGGATCAATAAAGCACATCTTCCTATACACTTTAAGGGCGGTTTACAAACTCACACCAAAGTGATCACTTGTTGTTTCAGGGGCACTTCAAATAAAGAACAGCGAAGAAAAGGACCAAGGCAAATACGAATGCGTAGCAGAAAACTCCATTGGAACCGAATATTCCAAATCAGCAGTTCTATACGTAAAAGGTAATCTACCAACAAATTATTCGGGATGATCTTCTGATCGCTTTTCAGTCCGGAGGGTACCCCCACAGTTTTCCGTATCACCGCCGCTAAAAAAAGAAGTAATGTTAGGCGCCGATTTAAATTTAACGTGCGTGGCAGTTGGCTCGCCGATGCCCTTCGTGAAATGGCGCAAAGGTGCCACGCAAGAATTGACTCCAGAAGACAAACTGCCTATAGGAATTAATTATTTGGAGTTGACGAATATACAGGAGTCCGCAAACTACACGTGCGTCGCAGCAAGTGCCCTTGGTGTAATAGAGACTGTAACAGAAGTTAAAGTACAATGTAAATGGATCAATTCGAATATCGCTCGCGATCCTGATCACGTTTTGTTTTAGCATTACCGGGACCTCCAGCTAACGTTAAAGTGTCCGAAATAACCGCAACGTCAGTACGCTTAACGTGGTCTTATAATGGCCCAGAAGACTTACAATATTACGTTATACAATTTAAACCGAAGTATGCAAATCAAGCGTATAGCGAAATATCGGGAATCATTACTATGTATTATTCTGTACGTAATCTCAGCCCTTACACAGAGTATGAAATGTACGTTATTGCCGTGAATAACATAGGAAGGGGACCTCCAAGTCCGCCGGCTGTGGTTACAACAGGAGAGACAGGTATAATTATCACGCATTATAATCATCATTGGTCAGTACTTGGCGAATGCTGCGCATTTGCACAATTACTGACGCTATCATTGCTTTTTTGGGATGAAACCGTTTTTGTCATTTTCATGCGTACAATTAACCATATTACCTAATGGATTTTTGGCTATGCCTAATGTAAGTTTTTTGAATTTTTGTGTGCATTTTTTTACACAATTAGAGTAGCCATATCACGCCCACTGATTGTGCTTATATAGTAAATTAGATCGAGTCCCCCAACAATATTTAAGACGGCTAACACATTTTTTTTTGCCCTCTCTTAGCTGATCCGTCTTTTGGAGGTGCCAGTAAGTTTTCATGTTGCACATGCTTTTAATGTATCTACTAAATATGCATGAGATTCAACTTTCACGTTACATTATCTACAGGGAGTTGTACTTACAGAACCGGGGACGTGTCCGAGGAATGTGCAGGTGAGGCCGCTGAGTTCCACTACAATGGTAATACAATGGGATGAACCCGAAACGCCGAATGGACAAGTGACTGTAAGCGTTACTGTAGTTACCTACGACAAACTTTACCTTCATTCTTAGGGCTACAAAGTTTACTACACGACAAATCCGCAACTGGCCATGGCTCAGTGGCAATCACAAATGGTGGACAACAATCAGTTGACAACGATAAGCGATTTAATCCCCCACACAATTTACACCATTAGAGTGCAGGCTTTCACATCGGTTGGCCCGGGACCTCTCAGCCCACCAGTTCACGTCAAAACACAACAAGGTATCTCGTCCTATTAATCCTGAGGTATTTAATGCAATCCTTCCATAGGTGTGCCGAGCCAACCGACGAATTTAAGGGCTTCTGACATTGGTGAGACCGCGGTGACTTTACAGTGGAGTAAACCTACACATTCGGGTGAAAATATAGTGAGTTATGAACTGCATTGGAATGACACTTACGCTAAAGAACAACATCACAGACGTATACCCGTTTCGGAAGGGTATACGTTGACGGGACTTTATCCGAACACTTTATATTACGTGTGGTTAGCCGCTAGGTCGCAACGCGGAGAAGGAGCTACGACTCCCCCCATTCCTGTTCGTACGAAACAGTATGGTAAGATAATGAAGTGGTTGGTCATTTTTTCTTAGGTACTGGAGTTGTGTTTTTAAATTAGGAGGGTTTTCGAAAATCAACTAAATCTACTCTTGAGAGCGTCATTTAAAGGCTTGGAACCTTTCTTTGGGCAAATTATTTTAACCATGGGATAAGGCGGCTGTGCGCCTGTGTAACTTTATTTCTTATTTAAATCAAGACTACTATTATCAAAAGATCTTTGAAGTTAGGTACTGACGTTACCGAAGAGGAGGGAAGGCGGAATACTTGAATCAGTAACTCGATTGTAAAAAAAACCTGTCCGCACCTTGGGAACAATATGGGACGGAACGGGAGGTAGTAAATTTGATTTCTCGGGGACCGTAAAGTCAGTAAAAATATTAGAACATAGGCAGACCATTTCTTCTATGCAACCTCTTGGACCATACCTCCAAAAAACTTACAGAAAATCTTGCAGCCTTAGGCCTTGGCTTTCTCAGCGATCGCGGTCCCGGCACGTTCAAACCTCTCACTCTGCCCTGCGCATATTTCTTCCTGTAAAACCTCTTTTTCATTTTTACCGCATTTAATCTTTCTCTGACACTTTTCGTCTACAAGTAGTGCATGGTTAAATTACTCATTAAACTACCCTACGTACTAAATATATAAAATATGAATTAAAAGTAGGTAAAAAACATGCCGGATGTAAGAATCATATACAGGGTGCCCATTTTTTAAGTGCCGCTATAGGGATCTCGTATTCTAACATTATTCGGACACTTTTTTATGGAGAATTCAAATATGGCATCCCGTTTTTAATCATTTTCAATATGACGCAAAACACGTTGGAACTTCATTTTTTCTTATGGACGCCATTCTGGATTTTGACATTATTAGATTAGGTACGTTCTTTCGCATTCGAAAAACAAGTTGACCTTGCAAAAGCGCGTTGCGAGATGGGGGGCGCGTGCTCATCACGCGCAAAAAGGAGGTAGAGATAGGGGATCACGATAAATACAGCAGCGAGGAGATGCAGGGACTAACCTAAGCGGCAACCTGGGAACAAATAGGCACGACATCGAAGTAGTACCAGGGTACACGATTTAAATCACTTCGAGAAAAGACTCTCAATCGGAAGGACGCCCCCGGCCACGAAAAGAAATCTACCACGTTAATGAAGGTCAAGCCAAAACTTGCAAAATAGCTTTTTTTGAAGAGCCAGCAGGTAGAAGTGTCTATAATAAAATAAAGGGTTATTAGAAAGCAGTAGCGGCAAGGGAAAGCAACGCGTCTGGGGATCAGAAGAAAATCTGCACAAACTCAAAATGAAGGAGCAAATACGCAAGGACGTAAGTTTAGAGAAGAAGTACAGTGCCCTCAAGCAGGATAACTGGAAGCTAAAAGAGAGGCTCATTAAGCAAAAGACAAAATGGGTAGCCGGTCAGGAGGCAGTGAATATGAAAGAGACAATAAATTAATGCCTGAGCGCCCTGAGCCCCATACATTCGATAAAATTTTTAGAACTGCAGATTAATTGCATCAGGTAGGCGTAAACAACATTACTGTAAACAAAACTGGATGCAAGCGAAATTCACCTTAATTAACATTCTTTGACGTAGGCGATACATAGGCGACGATGTAAGTTATACGGGCTAGAGAGAGTAGCGGATCTTAAACTATTAGAAAGGACAGAAACGAGGAGAAAGGGGGCGTATATTTATTATATTAAAGAAACTAGGATACAAGGAGTAGGTACTACGGTAAGCTAATAAATATGGCTATGGGAAAGGTGGAAGGCATGTACCCGGCGATGAAGGGATTATTTAAAGTAATTGAAAGAGAGAATATGCATGTTGGGGGACTGCAAGGTAGAGATGCGAGTTAACCCGCAAGAGAAAAGGACAGGGAACAGAGAATACGTTGAGATAAAGGGAGAGGGTGGGAGAGTGGTAACAATTCTTTCAGGGAGTTCATCAAGGTTGGCCGGCATTGTTTTGTAAATTTCATTTTTCATGTCCCCCACAAAAAATACGTCGCCATTATTAGCAATAACATGGTTGGTGAACATTTCTGATAAACATTCCCCACCCCTCCTATCATTATAGGGCGGTGCGCCACCTTGCTGGAATCCTATTGCATATAAATGATGAAGAGGAACGTTGTTGTCAATAAAATCGGTTAGAAATGGAGCTACCAATCAGCATTTAAGATTTCTTCGTAGATGTAAGGACCAATTATTGCATTTTCGCAATAAAATTAGCGGAAACGTAAACGACTCTTATTTCAAATAGCATCAAAATGTCAAATTTTTGTTTGAAACAGAAGAACGATTTGTTTTTCCAAAGCAATCTTCTCAAAAAGTGGAAAATTGTATTTTTAGGAAAAATATGTGATCCTGAACCACCATTGATACATTGTTGTAAAGAGAAAAACAGACCAAATCTCAAACTGTCAAAATCCAAAATGGCGTTCATAACAAAAAAAAGTTGCCACGTGTTTTTCAGGCATCTTGAAAATTATTAAAAACAAAATGCCATATTCGAATTCTCCATAAAAAGGTATCTCAATAATATTCTGGTTAGAAAAAATTAAAAACAAAAATCAGAAATTTTCGGGATATCTTCAAAACTATTGAACATATTTTAAATTTCTTTTGAGATTATTATTCAGCACAAAAATTGAGATGCCCATACTGGCAATCGAAAAATGGACACCCTGTATGTAAGCATTTCAGTTTTGAAGTAAGTGCTCAAAAGTATTCCTTTGGTTGCATATGGCCACGTGAAAAGGGGGAAAGGATACCAAGAGCAGTTTTATGCTTTACTCGAGAGTAGATTTAATAATGATTGTAACGATACAAGTAAATATTTGCCACATTTGTATGACGACTCCATCAGTTTTTACCAACACTTGATAATTGATGAGATTTTATATTGGTTATTAAAAAAAATATTAGTATGACTCATCCAATTTGCTATCTTGTATATACTAATATTTAGTTTCAAGTGTTGCACTTTCAGATGTGTAGCCAAAAAAGGTACATTTAAAAGTAAACTAACTTAGGTGTGATGTGTGTTGTGCGAGTGTATCCTACTTAATGCATTGCATGCAGTATACTAGTTCGTCGGTGGATATTAATTTGTCGATAAGCACTGCACCATACTGCTATGCCTTTATTGTGATGTGCAATAATTTATATAATGCACTCGTTGTGTGTAGTTAATTGATTTTGTTTTAATATCCACTAAAAGTTAGTCTAAGCTTATGGCGCTAAGAGTTAAAATGCTAACGCCGCCGTAGTACCGGGTGCACCACCCCGAAACGTTACCGGGGAAGCGGTAAGTCCGACGGCGATCCGAGTGAACTGGGTGCCGCCGCCCGCCGAACGTAGTAATGGGAATATCGTTTACTACAAGCTGCAGTTTGTCGAGGCCGGCAGATCTGATAGCGAGGCGTCTATCATCACGTTGAACGCAACTAGTTTTTTACTTGACGAGTTGAAACGTTGGACCGAGTATCGGATTTGGGTACTCGCCGGGACGTCGGTCGGAGATGGACCATCCTCATATCCAATTACGGTTCGAACCCACGAAGATGGTACGTTTTTTTTTTCAATTCATTATGTTTAATATTGTTATGTAAGATATTTGCAAAACCAATCTCATTTGGTTTTACAAATACATTCACTGTTTTCTTTTTATACCCAAATAGCTCAACACAGATATTTTTGATTTGGTTTCTTGTTGTATACATTAGTATTCTTTTCATTTTCTTTTATCTTATGCACTTTCTCAAGACCGAGTTTGAGGGAAGAGTTAGAAAAAACCAGAGTGCAGAAAGACTTGTGGTGGCAACCACGGGCAGTGTCCTGTAATGGAACTATTGATCAAATTAATTGCCAATATCTTACTTTTTCAACTATTGTCTCTATTTTTAAGAAAGTTGTAACGTTAGGGTTGTAAATCGTAATTCTCACCCAAGCAAATCGTAGCAAATCCAGTCGGGATTAGCTTATATCTCAACGTACGTTACCGACAATTCGAAGATGATTAGCTGATAATATTTTTTATAAGCTTTTACATACTATTTATATCACAGATTACCTCCTTAACCTACGTCAATTACGTAGGACCAATCGCTATAAGTATAACCTGTCCCATTTAGTTAAAAAATGCCTCAAAACATTTCACAGCGCGTTTTGAATCGGCTATAAAAGCAAGGCCACGAAAAAACGTATCTTCGAGTAGAATGATCCCTAGATAATAAGCCAGGTCACAAAAAAAATATCAGAAGATAACAAATATCAAAAATCACAAATACCACTTAGTGAATATCATCAATTTTATCTTAAAATATCTTCGTGTTTTTATCATTCAACTAATAAATCACAATGTAGAGTCTGTCAGATAAATTTCAGATTGGGATTGAGTTTGTGGTGGAGGATCCTTAGGGGTGTCAGCGCTGAGCGCCATAGGACATTCTTTCTCATAACTTCTCTCCTACCAGGTAAAGGGGATTTTTTCACTGATTTTACAGTAAAAGTAGTCTATCTATACTATGAATACCAGACTATACCTACCAAGAGCATATCAGGCATGTGCATGAAAAAAGTATATATAATTTAGTAGGTACTCCCTCAAAAATTTATGTTGGTATTAAGAATGAACCATGAATTCCATCTGTTCTTATCTACAGTTCTAGGTCTAGATTTTAGTCAGTTGTTTTATACAACTGGGCAATACGCGTTGTGTAAATAATTCACTTATTTTCATGCGAAAAAGTAGTATTCTAAACAATCCTGTAACTTTAATAGAAATGGTGATAGATAAGTTTGTATATATACATATATGTAGCTTCTTCTTTGGTATTTGAGAACATTGTCATTTGTTATTTACATATGCTAGCACGACCGAAACAGCAAGCAAAACGCGCGCATAATTGGTATGGGTATCAATTGCTTAATATTAGCTTTTACCAATGCCGTTGTGAGAGTGCTATGTACTGTAGATTGTTTTTGGACATTTTTGGAAGTACACCTTTATTTCATACACTTTTTCATTCCAAAAGAATGCTAATATATACAAAAGCATAAAAGCCAAATACGCGTATAATATCTGTGTTGTTTTCGGTTTTGATTTTTTTAAGACAGGAACAACTCGAAATCGTGGGTGGAGAGAGAGAGACGGAAGCAAATTCCAACATAAAATCCCTCTACCTGAATTTTCTTCCTTTTCGTTAATTTTACGTTTACTCAAAATTGAAGTTTAGTGTTTGTGTAGTCTGTAGATTTTTGACATATCCGCAGTGGTATGTTCTCGCAAGCGACCTAAATGTTTTTTTTTTACCATTGCAGCCTGCCCTTGGAGGATTTTTGAAGCTGGTGCAATTTTTTGTACGTTTTTTTCATTACAGCGGTTTTTATACTCCAAACACTTTTTGCAGCGGTGGGCCCAGGTGGTTTTTTTTTTGTAACCGTTTTTGATATGCTGATGTATATTAGATATGTTTAATCCGTTCTTTTGTCTACAAAAGCCTTTGCAGGAGATCGCCTTAAAGAGAGGTTTTTTCATCTCAATTTTTGTGACTGTTTTTTGTATAATCGGTATTTCAAAATTTTTACATAGTTGTGTCTTATTTTGTTTAGTTATTGTTGTATTGTTTAGCTACTCACGTTCACATGTAATGATTGCTTATTAAATCTCACTGGCACAAAGTTGCATTGCGATGGCACTATTTTTTGAGTCACGATCGGCACAGTTATTTTATATTTGTTTCGTTTATTTTCGTGCACCTATTTTTGATATATAGATTAATTGATCCTAGCATGAATTCATTCCGATTTGTCACCTATCCTTTGAATAGAAAAATCAGTGTGTGTAGTGGTTTTTCTATCCTTTCGTTACCCTGTCCCTCAACGCTCGCTAGGCAGCACCACTCACAGTAGGATGACATGGCGCACTATTAATATATGGCACATTTTTAATCACATCTCACTGTATGTGACGACACTTGCACAATTTCTGTGTGGATGTGTGTATGAAATACTAACAATAAATTATTGCATTTAAAATAATTAAGAAGCATTATTACAATAATGTAAAGGGGGTTACATAGCTTTTAACAGTTTGTTGAAAAGGTTGAACAACAGGCACAGCTTTTACAGCGTTTTTAACATTAGACACATTTGAATACCAATACTTAACACCTAGTGTGGTCATCTTTTTTTCGTTTTTGTATTCATTGTGCATGCGAATTAGTTGAATTTATGTAACCATCGTAAAACTGTGTCGTTTATAATCAGGTTGAGAACTATATTAACGAAATAAATTGCCTGATGCATGTGTCTATAAGTTTTGTATTGTATTGGACAACCCCTGTTGAAGGGTAGTCGGAGGTGTAGCTGTGAGGTGCTGATACACAACATTTTTCTACACACTTTTTTACACAGAATCCCCTAGATATTTTTGAGAACCGAAACCATTTTTCCTCGTTGGTTTTATTTTTGAAAATTTTTGGATAAATTTTTAATCAGTACATGTGTGTGAGTATTTTTTAAAATGTTTCTTCAAACGTTTTTGCAGCAGGGAACGACGTTTTTTGAGTGTTTGTATTTTTGTATACGCCTATTGATTGGTAATAGACATGTACACTTTTACATTACTATTTTTTCTAACTTTTTTGCCTTGACATGGTTCCGCAGCCATTCGGAGTGAGTATTTAACTCTTTGTCGTGTGCTAGTAGTGGCTCCTAGTAATTCTGTAGAATACTTTGTGCTTTACCCAAATGTGTAATACTGGTTATGCTGCATTACGAATTTTTATTGTCGGAAATTATTCATAAAACCATGCAGCGTAACTGACATTTTTATTTACATACATACAGCCTACCCGGATATTTTGTCTAATAATGTTAGTATTAAGATATGTAGACAGTACGATCAAAATAGGTATTTACATGTTCCACAAATCTATATGGATGAGGTAAATATTCACCAATCATATTTCATGTGTTGGTATTCAAATGTCTTTACAAAGACATGCGTATGATAACGAGTGGTTTCAATGTAAAGAAAATAACCTTATTAAAGTGCCTGCATGCCAAATAAGCTAATTTTGATTAAACGTTTTTGGAGAATTATACTAAAGGAAGTCGTATTTCGTAGTGCCTGGTAATCCCGAGGACGTAAAGGTCACTCCGATAAATTCGACAACAATCAAGGTCAACTGGAAACCGCCTCAGGCGAAAGATCGAAACGGCGTGATACGAGGATATCACATACACGTTCAAGAAACAAAAGAAGAGGTATGGTTCTTAATTTTTTGTTAACAAAAGGGGGTTGTACCACTATAGTGGTCCAGCAACAAGAAATTTTATTGGTGCAGACTCTTAGTCGATAAAATACGTATTAATCCATTTCAGGGCAGCCTACTGAACGAACCGATGAAGTTTGACGTTTTAGAAGATTCTCTTTTAGAACTAAACGTTAGCGGTTTACAACCAGACACCAAATACACCATTCAAGTGGCGGCCCTCACCCGAAAAGGCGATGGCGATCGTAGCCCTCCCGTCAGCGTCAAAACGCCCGGTGGCGTTCCGAATCGACCCGCACTGACGCTAAAGTAAAACATATTGCTCGTTTTTCAGTTAAGACTTGCTTTTACATTTTATAGAGTCATTGAAAGAGAACCTACCGTTACAATTGAGCTGGAATGGTCACGACCGACACAAACCTATGGCGAATTACAGGGTTATCGGTTACGTTTTGGTGTTAAAGAGCAAGTTCTGAAAGAGGTGTCACTGAAAGGTAAGTTGCAATTGTATAACAAATGACAAATACCGCATTTACCCACATATGCGACAATATGATCACCTTTTTCTCGTCCACTTTCGATTTTGTTCTATTCATTTAGCAATTTTCACAGTAATTTATCATTATTATTACATTTATTAAGCGGCAGAGCAAAGCGATGTAGGTATGCTTTATAGGGGAGTCGATTCATGATGTTCGTTTGTCCGTCCGTGAACACGATAACTGCCAAATGCTTGGACCGATTCGGTTCAAACCTTGAACAGTTGACCTACATGCCTCATATAACAAGCCTATTGAAAATGGGTCAAATCCAATGACCCCGTGAGGTCAAACCGAGGTGCTCTGCAGCTTTCTTAGATCCGCTTCAGGGGTTTATTAAACATCTAAGAAAAGAGGTGCTAATTTTGATTATAGCATATATTGGCCCGTATGAATAAAAGTAAGCAAATGCTTATACTTGCAAAATTCAAAGTAAATACTCGTAAGTGCTCCTTCGCACTGGGGGACTTAGCAGCGCTGCTAAGCAGAAGGACAGGACGCAGTGCAGCGCTGCTAAACCATGCTAAACAAACCAGTATGAACGGGCAGTTACGAGTAGGTATTTACTTTGAATTTTGCAAGTATAAGCATTTGCTTACTTTTATTCATACGGGCCATTGTATGCAATATAGGTGGATTTACTTCTGGATCATAACGCATTTTTAGCTTTAAATAAACGTTAAATGAATTTATTTAAACAATAGGCAATAATATTTTTAAAAAACGCCAGTCAAGGTTTTAGTTTTTATTTTTGGGAGTATTTTATTGTTCCGGCGATTTTCTGGAACATTGGAAAAGATTTGCGATCACTGCGCGGTGCTAGATCATTTCTATCTAACCGATTTCCATGACATGCATATGCTCAATTCTAATTTGACCAGAATCCAAACTCCTGAACCATATCCGCATTATACTTGACCCTGTACACCTATCAGCAGTCAATCACCTTCTAATCAGCCTACCTATAGGAACTAGGTCTCAAATGTTATTTTCATTGAGCGCATTTACCCCCTAGAATGATCATTGCCACTTTCCAATTTTTGGCTTGAAAACATTCAATGGCTTGAGTGTATGTAGACGGTTCAGCTTATGAGGCTCCATTGACTGCATACTCCTTCAATTTCCTCAGCGTTTTCAATTTGGATCTGTCTCGGAATGTTCACAGTTGTTTTCCTCCATTTTCCTCAAATGAGTCTTCATTCCGTAGTGTCTTGAATTCCTAAGCTTGACCTTGATTCGTGATGGACGTCTGGTACTGGTTTAGGATTCCGATCTCCTTCTTCTGAATTAGTGACGTCACTTGCATACTCGCTTCTACTGCTACAGTATTCAAATGTGGCGGTCAACTGCTTTTCCGTCTTGAAGTTTATATCACGTGCCAAGCGCCTTCATTGATTGGCTATTTCCAACTTGTTGCACCGAAATCTGCAATCCAAACATTGGGGGAATCCACAGATTTGACGATATCCGATTGGCTAACAAACGCAGGCGTTTCCCGACTCTTCTCAGACTTAGAGTTCTTACAGTTCCGCTTATAATGGCCTAATTCGCCACATTTGTAACATTTTGGGACAAACTTCTTTTACTTGTCGCCACTCGCCCATCCCCCTTACCATTGCAATGCAAATTCGCAGATTCCTTTTCTTTTATACCAAAAAACTGATTGAAAAGGCGTGATCTCTGCACTCTGCAGCTCATAAACTGAATGCAATTTGTCCCACATTTTCTTGCTAGTCGTAGACATATAGTTATATGTTACCTGAGTTGACAAACTCGTAAGACAATAATATTCTGAGCTATAAATTCAAGTGTTTTGAAGGCTTCCTTCCACTACGTCCATCCAGCCATTTACACTCAACTGAATTTTGTCTTGGAATCTCCAATCAACTCAATTGGAATGTCCCCCCAATTTATCTATCTATAACTCGCAAAACTTCCATGACAAATAACTGAGATGAATGACTTCTGGCTTTTCAGTATACAAAACGCTAGTGGCGGCATATACCGCACATGCAGTACGGTCATCATTGCCAACGCAATTCTCCATAAGCGTTAGGCTTCTTACAGTCTTTGTTGAAAGAATATCAACACTAATGATTAACGTGTTTATTGATTAAAAACCCAAATAAAGTAATTGGATTCTAAATCTTGTTAGCGAACCGATGCAGAGCGTATGTGTACAGTTACGAAAGGAATAAGAGCAAAAATGACTTTTTGTGGTTGTTGTTGTTGTGAAGTAGGTCTTCTTAAACGAAGGCGAAGCGATATCGAATGTGTTGGTTGTCTTTTTCTGTAGCGATAACATAGATGGTTGGGTGATTATCCGACGAAGGCGCTAATACAGTTTCAGTGGCGTATTTTGGGGGGGGGGGGATGAAGTAGTAGCCCAATCTTGGAACTGTTTTAAATTATGGATTCTACAGGCCACATTCTATAAGAACATTTTTTTTCCGGTCGATCTGAGACAATTTTTTTTCTGGACAAAAAAAGGCCCAAAAATCGACTGCACCAAAATTTCTCGGGAAAAAACTTTTTCTTATTAATTTGGGTGCGTAGAATCCAAAACCCCCCAGAAGAATTGAGTTATCATCATAGCTATTAGGTATTTAGGTAATACTCCGCTATCCGCTCCGCCCACTTAATAATATATAGGTATATATAGAGAGCAATTTTGGTTTTGGTTAAAGTCTAAAGTCACTAAAATCTAAATATTCTGTAGTATTCACTATTCAGTGAGTGATCAGTGTTGGCAGTCAACGATTTGGCTATTCGGCATCGAATGGCAATTCGCTACATTGATGCCCAAAATAACAAATAGGTATCAGGTACTTAGTACTGCTACTGACGTGAGGTACCTGCGTCCTGCCTTTCACGAAATGACGAAAATAAGAATTTTAAATTTTAAAAACAGGAATTTTTTTGCCCATAACTTTTGATTGAGACATCTAATCGAAAAAGTACGAATCGTTTTGGATTCTACGCACCCAAATTAATAAGAAAAAGTTTTTTCCCGAGAAATTTTGGTGCAGTCGATTTTTGGTAAAAAAGGAAGGTAACTGCCTTTTTTTTTGCCCAGAAAAAAAATTTGTCTCAGATCGACCTGAAAATATTTTCTTATAGAATGTGGCCTGTAGAATCCATAATTCCAAACAGTTCCAAGATCGGACTACTAGATCAAAAGTTACAGCCCTTTGAATTTTTTGTCGAAATTGGTTTTTTGCCCATAACTTTTGATTGAGACGTCTAATCGAAAAAGTACCAATCGTTTTGGATTCTACGCACCCAAATTAATAAGAAAAAGTTTTTTTCCTGAGAAATTTTGGTGCAGTCGATTTTTGGTAAAAAAGGAAGGTAATAACTGCCTTTTTTTTGCCCAGAAAAAAAAATTGTCTCAGATCGACCGGAAAAAAATATTTTCTTATAGAATGTGACCTGTAGAATCCATAATTTCAAACAGTTCCAGGATTGGGCTACTAGTTCAAAAGTTACAGCCCTTTGAATTTTTTGTCGAAATTGGTTTTTTGCCCATAAATATACCTATTATTCAAAGTTTTCGTTGACTAATTAAAGCAAAAGCAATAATGGGGCCTATCGGCAGTAAGAAATAAAATACCGTTCTAATCTAATCTTTTTCGCCTGTGCAACCCAATTTCTATTTCTTACCCCCCCCCTTCTAGTACGCACTGGGTGACTGTATGTGCCACGAACTTGTTTAATCCCCCCCAGAATAAATTTCTACGTACGCCACTGTACACTTTCAACGGAGGCGATGATTTCGAAAATAACGCCGAAATTTGGGTTCCTTGAACAATGCCTGCGATGATGACCACGACGAAAGCTTTCACGATGTACAAATTAAAATGGGACGAAATGACATGCTGCTTTTTAACAGCCATATTCATTGTTGACGGTTGTACGACTCTTCGAATGTGTGCAAATTATTAATCATATTAATGCTAATTCTAACTTCAACGGCTCATGCGCCGCACATAACAATTGGGGCAGGGACAGGCGAAATAGTTATATACAGAGAGTGCTAAAGGATAATTTCCTTGAAGGAATTTCAAGCGAATAAATAAAGATAAGAATTCTAGCGTATTCGTTCAGAAGTAAATCACTGTGAAGAGTTTATTTATTTATTTGGCTCAATTAGAGTTGTTTCAAAGCAATTGTCTCTTTGGGTGAAGGCCAACGAGCAAACATGTGGAAGTACTTTAGGCAAAAATAAAAATTACAACTTCCCAAAAATTGGTCTCATTCCCACTTTCGGTTTTTTCCTTGCTTCTAAAATTGACATTTTTAGGAGTTCACACAACAACATATCGCATTACGGAACTTGAGCGAGGAGTGGAGTACGAATTTCGTGTAGCAGGACAGAATCACATCGGCATTGGTCAAGAAGCGATAAAATACATGCATACGCCTGAAGGCCCACCAACCGGTCCACCGACGAACATCAGCTACCATTTCCAAACTCCTGACGTTGTCTGCATCACGTGGGATCCGCCAAGTCGCGAGCATCGCAACGGTCAGATAGTCAAGTACGACATTCAGTTTCACAAAAAGTCGGACCACAGCAATATAATCGAACGCAATATCACCACAACGAAGGCAGTGTTTACTAATTTGGAGGAGAACACCGAGTATGTCTTTCATATTAAGGCGTATACCAGTCAAGGTTCCGGGCCGTTTAGCGAGAAAATTACGATACAGACGGAACGAGACATTGGACGCGCTCCAATGTATGTTAGAGCAGTAGCCACTTCAGATTCTAGCGTCGAAGTTTGGTGGGAACCCGTGCCGTCGCGCGGGAAGGTGATCGGGTATCAGATATTTTACACAATGACAGCCGTAGAGGATCTGGACGAATGGCAGCAAAAGTCCGTCGGGTTAACAGAGTCGGCCGATTTAATCAATTTAGAAAAATTTGCTCAATATGCAATTGCGGTTGCAGCTAGACTGAAAAATAACGAATTAGGCCGGCTCTCTGAAAAGGTGACAGTGAAGGTCAAACCTGAGGATGTTCCCCTGCACTTACGAGCGTATGATGTTACCACGCATTCGATGACGCTATCGTGGTCCCCTCCGATCCATCTTAATCCGATTAATTACAAAATTTCTTTCGATGCCGTTAAGGAATTCGTTGACGCGCAGGGAATTACGCAAACTGCCGCCTTTGAGAAGGTCGAAATACTGCTGAAGCAAAGCGTCAAGTCGCATACGATTAATAAATTGTCGCCTTTTACAACGTACAATGTAAATGTAAGCGCAATTCCTACCGATTACTCATACCGTCCTCCAACTAAGATTACGGTAACGACCCAAATGGCCGCTCCGAAACCGATGGTCAAGCCTGACTTTTACGGGGTAGTTAACCACGAGGAGATACATGTGATTTTACCACAAGCTTCTGAGGAGTACGGGCCCATTAGTCATTACTACCTGGTTGTCGTACCAGAAGACGATGACGCAAGTCAGCGTAACCCCGACGAGTATTTAACAGACTCGATCATCGAAAATTTGAAGAAAAGTCCCGACTCAGCGAGCATTCCGTACATTGCGGCCAAGTTTCCTCAACGTAACATACCGTATACGTTCCATTTAGGTACCGGCGAGGAGTACGACGGATTTAGAAATCGCAAATTAGAACTAGGGAAAAAATATCGAATTTTCGTGAGGGCTGTGGTCGATACTCCGCAGCAAGATTTGTATACTAGTAGTCCGTTCTCAAAATCGTTAAGTTTAGATATGCCAGGCGTACCGCCGGGCGATCCTCCATTACGACCTAATCCAAATGTGCCTACGGAGAACGACGTTAAGATAAATTCGCAACAGAAAGAGGCGGGGATATTTTGGGTAATCGTACCCATAATTGCCGCTCTCATGTTATCAATCATACTAGTGCTCTTATTTATTCTTAAGAAACGCAGACAGCCGTGCAAGACTCCCGATCAGGCTGCAGTCACTCGACCGCTGATTGCGGCAGATTTAAACAACAGCATCGCGCCGAGCGATCCGGTCGAGATGCGCCGATTGAATTTCCAAACTCCTGGCATGATCTCGCATCCGCCAATACCTATACTCGAACTGGCAAATCACATCGATCGACTAAAAATGAACGATAACCTCAAGTTTTCTCAGGAGTATGAGAGTATCGAGCCGGGCCAGCAATTCACTTGGGAACACTCGAACATGGAGATTAACAAGCCCAAAAATCGCTACGCTAACGTAATCGCGTACGATCACAGCCGCGTTATTTTACAACCAGAAGAAAGTCTTTTGGGAAGTGACTACATCAATGCTAATTACTGTGACGGCTATCGGAAACACAACGCTTACGTCGCGACGCAAGGACCCCTACAGGAGACCTTCTCGGACTTCTGGAGAATGTGCTGGGAGTTACACACCGCCACAATCGTTATGATGACCAAGTTGGAGGAACGTACCCGAATTAAGTGTGACCAATACTGGCCGACTCGCGGAACCGACACCTACGGATGTATGAGTGTTTCGATTACTGACGTTCAGGAACTCGCCACGTACTGCATTCGGACTTTTCAAATTCATAGGCAAGGGCACAGTGAACGTAGAGAAATAAAGCAGTTACAGTTTACCGCTTGGCCGGATCATGGAGTACCCGACCATCCGGCGCCATTTCTGCAATTCTTACGGCGAGTGCAGAGCATGAATCCGATTAATGCTGGACCCGTGGTGGTTCACTGTTCAGCTGGGGTGGGGCGAACGGGTAAGTCTTTTTTTTATTTGATCTTTCTTTAAATCTGATCTAGTATCAAATAAGAATTCCCAATAAATTCAAAGCTCATTCCAGGCGAGTTAGAGTTTTCAAGTAGCTGTATCACAAAGATTTTGAAAATGTAGTATTTCACCCAAACTAAACTAAAATAAGAAACTTACTATCCACATCCGGTAAAACGTGAAATAGTCATCAAAATATTTTCTTTCGATAGATTTTGTATTATAATCCTAATGAGTTATTCAATTTTATAGGCTGTTTCATTGTCATCGATTCCATGTTGGAAAGGATGAAGCACGAGAAGTATATCGACATTTACGGTCACGTGACATGTTTGAGAGCTCAACGAAACTACATGGTACAAACGGAAGACCAATATATTTTTATACACGATGCACTTCTGGAAGCTGTGATCTGTGGGCAAACCGAAATTCCCGCGCGCAACCTTCACTCCCACATTCAGAAACTAATGCAGCCAGAAATCGGAGAGAACATCACCGGAATGGAATTGGAATTTAAAAAGTTGGGCAATATAAAGATCGACTCGTCGAGATTCGTCACCGCGAATTTACCATGCAATAAGCACAAAAACCGTTTGGTACACATTTTACCTTACGAGAGCACAAGGGTATGTTTAACGCCGATGAGGAACGTCGAAGGATCGGATTATATTAATGCCAGTTTCATTGATGGTTATCGTTACCGTAAAGCTTACATAGCGACTCAGGGTTCGCTTTCTGACACAGTCGATGATTTCTGGAGGATGCTTTGGGAACATAATTCTACCATTGTCGTCATGTTGACGAAACTAAAAGAGATGGGAAGGGTAAGATCTTTTTATACAAACTCAATTTGATCCTAACTTCTTCGGTCCTTTATTTTTAGCATATCCTAATCTTTCTGAAGAGTTTACCTCTTCCCATATGTTTCGAACTTATCTCTGCTTTTTCCATCCTTTATTTCTACCTTATCCTTACTTCAGCTCAATTTTGTCTATTCGTTTCTAACATTTCTTTTCCTGCCATCCTTTTTCTCTAGTTTATATTCTTCTTTCTGCTTTGGAATTACCACGACCTTGTTCAAAATCTTCCTATACCCCATCGAATCACTCCTCTCACTTTAAAAATTGGTTTCCATTCTCTGTGAGACTTATTGAAAGTAATATATTGATAATAACTTTTAGGAAAAATGCCACCAATACTGGCCGAGCGATAGATCAGTGAGATACCAATGTTTTGTCGTCGATCCCATCGCGGAGTACAACATGCCGCAGTACATATTGCGCGAATTTAAAGTGACGGACGCGCGAGATGGTTCTTCGAGGACCGTGCGCCAGTTTCAATTCACCGACTGGCCAGAGCAGGGCGTACCTAAGTCCGGTGACGGTTTCATCGACTTCATCGGTCAGGTTCATAAGACGAAGGAACAGTTCGGTCAGGATGGTCCCATTACGGTACACTGCAGGTAAATTACAACATTGTTTAAAGAAATCTTCGATTAGAATTCTTGTTTTAGCGCCGGTGTCGGTAGAACTGGCGTTTTTATAACTCTAAGCATAGTGTTGGAACGAATGCAATACGAAGGTGTCGTCGATGTATTCCAGACGGTGCGGATTTTGCGAACACAACGACCTGCCATGGTTCAAACTGAGGTTAGTGATTTATATCTTTATACGTCCATATATTTACACTTCAGTATATAAATGAACTTCCTTTTTCTTTTTTGGCTTATCACTTGCTCTGACTATGGTATCCCAGGTACTATTCAGTCAGTAGTCTACAAAGCATTCTGACCGAACTTCAATAAACTCACCTTACTGTTTGTCTATACAGAGTGTCAATTTCAAAACTTGCAGTCGGCCATATTTTCCAAACTAAAGAAGGTATTGAAAATCTCAATCGCGCAAAGCCGTTTCGAGGATATCGAGGGGGAACCAAAATGACATTATGAGCGACAATCCTCCCCTTAACCCCCCAGCCCCCCTATTCAAAAATCTTAAATGGAAACCCCATACTTGTGACACCTCGTTGGAAAGCTACTGAAAAATGCTTTCTAGAATATTCATTAAAACAATTTAACAAAAATTTAATAATTAGCAAAAAAAACTAACTGTCGACACTGAGGGATTTATGACAAATTGGCCAAGAACTTCAACCTGAGGAAACCTATGGAAACAAAAATTTAAGTTTTTCTTGGCTTTGAGAAAATTGGAAGCACACGAAAGAGGTATAAATTGCAATACCATTATTGAACTTTTTGGGTGATAAAAGCTTACTGTCTTTTGTTGTATAACAACAGCAGGAAACAGAAAATTATTCTATAGGTGCAGAATTTATGGTGTGCACTATGATAGTATATTATTCTTATAGTACTAGGAGTGGTCCAAGTCGATTGCTGCACTGCGCTCTTTGAGTGTCTCTATTAGTACAGAAACGACGTCAGACTGATGGGTCTAAAGGATCTTTGCGTGGGCGTATGAATCTCGCACAGGTTTCCGTATAAATACGACTTTTACGTCCCTCCCCACCATAAGTATGTATTCCAGAGCAAAACTTGGCTTGAGTACCGTACATACATAGTGTGGAGGCTAGCAGGTCGAGGCCTTGTTATAGTAGAGCAGGAAAGATTCCATCCATCTCTGGGGATTTATATGGATGGAAAGTCTTCACTGCCCATATCTAACTTTTGTTAGGTTCTATCTGCCTAGCCAAAAACCAATCTCCTTTGTTCCCCTGAAAAGTGATTCCAGAGTAATTGGTTAACCCGCGTCATTTTGAGCGACGGTCTTTGATCCCGGAAAGTGTGATTGAAGCAAAAAGCTCCAAGCGGTGTAGAGCCCCCTCAATTTTCTGGCACCTCCTGGAATTTGTTAAATTTCCTCGCAGTACCTCCTTGACTAGTCACATTTTGCCTTTATTATGGTCTTATTATATTCGGTGAGGTTGGTTCTGTATGAACTCCACCCCCCGTGTTTTTGCTCTATTAAAAAGCTTCCTAGTCTGTGCCCACAATCGAGAGAGTCCCTCATACCACCAGGGACTTTATTAGAGGTTCTGCTTTCTTTTTTGAGGCAGCTTGCTCCATAGGCACCTTTGATGGCCATGCGAAGGTTTGATTCCATACCTTCCATTCCACCGAGTTATTAATTCCTGCGGGACAGTTCTCGAGATTGACCTTTAAGTTCCCTCTAGAGAGATCCAGTTGGTTCTTCCCAGATTTCTATACACAGCTTTGCTGTTTGTATCTCCAGCATTTTGAATTTCGATCCTTTTCAGAATCTTCTTCGGTTCTACTTGAGCTTCGGGGATCCAAGCGCGTGCCCTTTACTAGTTTTGGGAGGTTCCTCGCTTTGACGAATCTAAGTTTCGCCCCCTACCACGGAGCTGCTCTCGCTAGCTTCAACCTCAACCAGTCCACCGATACCTGGTCTGCTTATGTGATCAACAGCGCTCCCCCTCTGTGGCGACACTCCGTGAATTTGGGCGAAGCCGCCCCAACGGACACAGTGCGTCAAGTCTGTTAAGGGTCCAGGCTTTGATTAACCCTGTATCCTCTTCCGACAGCGGTCCCTCCTGGTGTAATGGACAAAACGCATCCTGAAGCCTGTAGCTACTTCGCTAAAGGTTCTGGTCTCCTTTATGGCCGCGGTTTTTGCCTTTTTCGAGCTACTTCCCTTGAGAGTGCTGCCATCAGATCAGTGTCGTTTTTGCGTCCCAGTCTTCCGTGCAGTCTTGGTAGGTGCGTTGCCCCACTTCAGTAGATGGGAGGTCAGGTTGCTTAGAGCCCCCTGGTTCCTGCCTCATCTTTTTTAGCTTCCGGCGCACTACCCCGGAGAGTTTTCCAGGCTGTCTGTCTAGTACCAGGTACTCCGGAAGTACTTGGTTGCGTTTTTGATTTTTTTTCCTGGTCCATAGGTATGAGTCCCACGAGTAGGGGGAAATAAGGTGACTTAATAATACAATTGAGTAGCCCCGGTGCCAGGTATATATTATGATATCTACTAACTAAACCCAAATTGTTCAACCGATGGGCCGTGAGGTTATTCTGATAAGGAAAATTGGATCGCCATCAGAAAAAGGTTGAGAACCACTGCTATGCACAGTTACTTGTACACAAGCAATATATAAGACATAAATTAAAAGAAACCGGAAATACCGCTTTCACTTCTCATTGTGACGATATTAGAAACGATAAGGAATCTTGTGCAGTTGCATGAAGATTCACACCGGTCCCAAACCAAATTTTAATGAATCCTAAATTTTAACTACAGAATCCAATTATCTTAAAAGAACTGATCTCAAAACGTTATATCATTTCAAAAAAATCAACTCCATCGAAATTAATTTTATTTCACAGCATATGAAATTGACATTTTGGTTGAAGGAGTAGGCTAAGCGGCTCTTTAACAGTAACGGTAGATAAAGCGAAACAGATGATTGTGCATTCTAATGAATTATTTTAAATGGGACGCGGAGCACGATATAAAATGACGTTCGGAACATATGACAATGCTGTTTCTATGGAAACGACCGCGACGACAGAACGCTGCTATTTTTGACGTCTAAATTAAATTCAGAATTCAGAAGGCTATAAGGTTTTGCTAAAAGCTTAACTTTTGGTTGTAACTTGCTCTTTGTTGTATTTGATAATACCTAGCTTTCGCTATGGGCTACAATTACCCCAATATAAAAACTTTTTTACTTGACCTTTAATGTTTTGTTCATTCATGTTGGTTTCTTTCAATATTACGGTATTTCTTATATATTTCTCTCATGCTTTTTTATTTGTTTGAGTTCATTGCTAATTTGTATGTCAATGCTAATGGTGATTATGTAATTGTTTTAGGATCAGTACCAATTCTGCTATAGGGCTGCTTTGGAATATTTAGGCTCATTCGATCACTACACCAACTGATGGTAGCTTAAACGCTGTGGAGGACAAGGCAGTCTGGAACGGAGAGACAATAACTGCCATACGTTATATAAATTGTGCTGATTTGTTAATATTTAACTAGTAATTACTGCCAACCTAAGACATTTACGTGAAGCTATGTTAAAAAATAAAAATAGTGAATATAAATAATTAATTTAAAAATAGTGTGCAAAAATATATGTGAACAACGTGCCTACATATTTATTATAAACAGAATTGTTCGAGAAAATTGGCTAGAAATGTGTGCACTATTGAAATTGTTCCGGGACGTTGAGATTATTGGATGATATTCTAAAAGTTTTATACTTTACCGATGTATTTAATTTTTGTATCAATAGCAGCAGCTACGCTTGTTAGATACCTCATATACATATCGAGTTTTTTCACTATTATTTTATACTTTTTTATATTTTTAGATTTAAGTTCTTATAATCGTTTCTCATGTTGTTTATATATGAATGTTAAGGCAATTAACTCACTTAACTAACGTGATGACTGAATTAGCGATTAATTTTGTCCTTGTATAAAGTGTAAAGAAATCTGGAGCAGCTGGATTTTGTCAAACTAGATAAAGGGTAGTTTTACAAGTTAAAGAAAAATCATCACATTATTTGTGCGAAGCCAAATTGTTTGCCTTGGTACTGTTAAAGTGGTGGATATCTATAAAGATTTTACTCAGATTTTTCGGCATACAAACACATGTACGGGCGGACGGTAAAATATTTTATAAATTGAGTAATTAGATCTTAATTTTTGATAAATGAGATCTCTTTAGAATTTTTTAGAAAATGTATTCTTAGAAATTTAAATTTTTCCTTTTGATAATGATCTACCTTAATATTTAACAATACCATTGTCATCTCGTACAGGATGTACGTTTAAATATGCCATCGATATTAGTACTTAGACTGATTTCCATCCCTTTAATTTTATTATTTTAGACAGATCTATTATATTTTGTAAAATAAAGCAAGTGTTGTAGCACGTCGATGAATGAATATTGAGAAAATAAATTCTGGATCAACAAAGCGCTTTAACATATTTTACAATGCTGATGATAGGTCTTATTTACCACAGCTCTAAAAAATGTTTATAAAACTCTAAACAAATTTAATTCTTCAGCAGGTTGCAATGTTGGCTTCTAAATTCCAAAACGACTACGACTACATCAAAGGTTATGGGGAAAAAAGCAACTTTTAAGGTGGCTCTCATAAGTCATAATCGTCAAGGCTCACAAAAACAGACTTCAGTCATCAAATGAATTTGTTTAAAGAATGTTGTAGTATTTATTCCTGCGAGTATAGAAAAAGATCTTCCCCCGGTTGGCAGAAAAAAGAACGTTATTGTGAAGTAGAAGCAGACACTTTCTCACAGATTTTGGTCTGTAGATTCCAAAATGACTATTTGAAGATTGGACGACTACATCAAAAGATTTGTCCAAAAACACAAAGTTCCAAAAGAAAGAGATTGTTAGCTTAGTGATTCAATCTTAAAAAGTCTAATCGTTATGGATTCTACAGGCCAAAATCTATAGGAAACGGTTGGTTTGTCTTTGGAAATCGGTTTTTTGTCCAAAACAATTCGTACTTTTTCGATTAGACTTCTCAATCAAAAGTTATAGACTAGAAACCAATTTCGACAAAAAATTCAAAGGGCTGTAACTTTTGAACTAGTAGCCCAATCTTGGAACTGTTTCAAATTGTGGATTCTACAGGCCACATTCTATAAGAAAATTTTTTTTCCGGGTCGATCTGAGACAATTTTTTTTCGGGCCTCAAAAAAAGGCAGTGTATAACCTTCCTTTTTTACCAAAAATCGACTACACCAAAATTTCTCGGGAAAAACACTTTTTCTTATTAATTTTGGTGCGTAGAATCCAAAACAATTCGTACTTTTTCGATCAGACTTCTCAATCAAAAGTTATAGACTAGAAACCAATTTCGAAAGAAAATTCAAAGGGCTGTAACTTTTGAACTAGTAGCCCAATCTTGGAACTGTTTGAAATTATGGATTCTACAGGCCACATTCTATAAGAAAATTTTTTTCCGGGTCGATCTGAGACAATTTTTTTTTCGGGGCTCAAAAAAAGGCAGTGTATAACCTTCCTTTTTTACCAAAAATCGACTGCACCAAAATTTCTCGGGAAAATACTTTTTCTTATTAATTTTGGTGCGTAGAATCCAAAACAATTCGTACTTTTTCGATCAGACTTCTCAATCAAAAGTTACAGACCAGAAACCAATTTCGAAAGAAAATTCAAAGGGCTGTAACTTTTGATCTAGTAGTCCAATCTTGGAACTGTTTGAAATTATGGATTCTACAGGCCACATTCCATAAGAAAATTTATTCCGGGTCGATCTGAGACAATTTTTTTTTGGGACTCAAAAAAAGGCAGTGTACACTTCCTTTTTTACCAAAAATCGACTACACCAAAATTTCTCGGGAAAACACTTTTTCTAATTAATTTTGGGGCGTAGAATCCAAAACAATTCGTACTTTTTCGATTAGACTTCTCAATCAAAAGTTATAGACTAGAAACCAATTTCGAAAGAAAATTCAAAGGGCTGTAGGTAACTTTTGAAATCGTGAACATTTGGTTGCTTCTCAAACGTGCCCTCAAGCTCCTATAACATTGTTTTCAAGTTGATATGAAGCAGAGCTGGGTACCCTCATGAGCGGAAAAACCGCTCGCAGTCAGAAAAAATGCGCTTGAGCCGAGTAACCGCTCGAGTAACGAGCACCAAGCGGTCGCACCGAAGTGCGCTTTTTTCGCCTGGAGCGCTTTTTCAAGCGAAAAGTTCGCGAGCAGTACCCAGCTCTGCTTTGAGGTCTTATTGTGAGGTTACTCTAAAGTTCCCCTCAAATTTCTCATGAACTTTCTTTAAGTTTTGTTTAATTTCCTCTCACGTTCACCACTGAAGCACAGTATATCCTTATATATACTGCAGTGGTGTAGTGCCAAATTTAGCAGTGCCGGAGCCCTTAAAATGTAGGCAACCAAGGCTATCGAATGCACCCCCTCCCCTCCAAGCAAAATTGGGGTCCACAAAAATGTTTTTAATTTGCAGTAAAATAAATGGGTTTTGAAACAATTTCATTTCGTAGATTTTTGAATAAATTATTGCTCTAAAGGTGTAAGGCTTATCTAAGTCGCAAATATCATTAGTTATCATCACTTATCTTATCTCCGTCTCCTATCCTGTGCCAGAGCGCCGCTCCCCTCTCACAAGCAGTGCCGGAGCAGCACTCCGGCTCCACTACACCACTGATATACTGTGACTGAAGTCCTTCATCATGTTCTCTTTAAGTCATCGGAATCTGGGTGTATGATGATAGCCTTGCACCAAACAGTACCTTTTTTGCCTACCAATTTCTACAGTACATCTGCTATCGTAGGTGATATTGTTGCTTAATCCCTGATAATCTACACACATGCGCACCTCGCCAGTCTTTTTGTGTATTAACACTATGGGACTTGTATGTCGAATTGGACTCCCTACAAATTACGCCTTCATACAGGGTGTTCATTTGAAAACTTCCCACCACGGATTTAACGAAAACCACCGATTAAAGGAAAAAACGCCGAGCAATAAAAACAAAGCACAAAACTTTCCCATAAATTTTGGTCGGTAGAATCCGAAATGACCACATTGAGCCACATCAAAACTTATACTGAACGTTCTTGAGGTTCTACAGGTTAAATTCTAACAGTTGCTCTATTGGTTCCTGGCCTATTTATAATATGAGACAAAAAAGGATCCTTTCAGTTTAATATTTTAATTTTATGAGAAAGATAGTGTCAACACAAATAGGAACAAAAAAAAATTAAATATCTACACGTCGGCCTTCAAGAATACAGAAGACAGCTCGACCTTTTCACCTGGTTTAAACGCAGGCATTCCCAAATAAGGACAACTTGCACAACGAAAAGCGTCGCCCAAATAACACTAAAAATAATTTTCATTAGTGACTGATATGGCATTGTTATCAACATACACTTCCACAAGAGGATTTAGCTTCGGCCGAATTCACAGTCTTCTTTGCGCTTGCCTCGTCATCCAACTCTTCAGCTAAACCACACGAACAGTCTTTGCAAGCTTTTCTTTTTCCCGTGGTTCCACAGACTAGAATTGCAAGATAAAAGTTGAACTAAGCAGACGGCAATATTACCTTTTAATGATGATTCATCGGGTTTCTTGAAATCATCTGCGTCTAATAAATCGTCCTGATCGATCAGTTCATCATCATCATCATTCAGATCGAGTTTCCACACAGCTGGAGTGGCAGGTTTTAAATTCAATTTTCTCGACGATCCCACCTCGTACGACGGCTTGAAACTGCTAATCGCATTTTGGCCAATCTGTACATTAATAAACCCGTTTGTTTTTAGTAAGAAGTCAATTTCTGGTATGTTCTGTTGGAGGATCACAAAGGGAGCACCCGGTCGAAGCTTGTTGTAGATTTCTTTAAGGATTTGCTCAGTGTACGGTAACCGAGAGGTAATTACTGCATGAAACATTGAGGGATCTGTAACAGGGAATGAAGCAAGATACGCAAATGTGAAATTTTACCTTTGCCAATTTCGCCATATGATTTAAGGGTTACGTTGTGGAAATTTTTTAATTGTGCCCGTAGTCTGCGCACATCTTCTTCCTCGGTGAACACCGCTAAAACACTTTTATCTTTGCTAATTAAATCCATCCTGTATAAATCAGAATGACAAATAAATTTGCAAAATAACAACTTTGAACTTCCACCAATTACCATAGACTACAGGGAAACTTAACCATAATACAGTAATTTGATTCGCTTCAAAGATTACAGTGTTGCCGCTATTTTTGTTACACAGGATGTTACATAAGTTTATACAGAAAGATAAATGCTATATAGTATAGCATAGACGTACGATCAACAAAAGTAATAATGGGAAGCTACATGACAAAGATTTAATTGCATTTTGTTTAACTCCAGCAGAGGTATGTTCTCAACTCCAAATGAATTGTAAATAGGTTTTTTAAATTAAGCCATTAATTCAATTTCTTCACAAGAAAGAGGAGTACTTATCAACTCAAAATTAGCCTCATATTGCTCCTCGACCACTCCTGTCCCTTCGCAAAGACCTTTCCCATTTTTCTCACCCAAAACATCGCTTTTACCCCAAAAACTCGCACTTTTCCACAGAAATTTCCAATCGCACTCCCTCTTCCAGAGTGGTCTATAAACCCCACAATAACGAATCCTCAATAATTCACCTTCAAGCTGTAGTAAAGCGACAGCCTCTATACGCAAGAGGACTAGAAATTCCTCTTCACATTTGAACCTGCAGTGATCTTGGACCGCAGGAAGTGGTATTGCATCCAATATATGCCCACTCTTGCCACTGCATCCTCAATAAGGGGTTCATACCTGTTGTCAGATTTTATCCCTTTCAAAATGGCTGCACTTTTTTGTAATGTACCTGGGAAGGTCTTATTTTGTAAATGATGATTATACCATATTTCTTTATGTAGAGATTATATTTTCTACACAGGAATACACGACTTAGTATTTTACATATAAGTAATATTACAATAGATTAACTGTCAGATGAATTGAATAGTTTTGGTCAAATAAAACGGTCTTCATAGAAAGAAGTAAAAAAATTATGCTAACACACCGCCTCTTCACTCTTCCTAAACAGGGTAGCGGTCGTCTGAAAAATACAAAAAGAAAATATCAGAACATCTTTGGAAATATACTTTTGACTAATAAATGCAGATTTAGCAAAAGTTTTTGTCCACATTTATTAGTATAACAACATTCAAAATCAATGGTTAATACCAAGATCAATAAATTCCTCCCCCAGTACCAGTTTGTCTCCTTTTAGTTTGTCCAGAAAAATGTTTAGAATTTTGTTTTTGAATTAGTCCTGTCTGATTTACTAGCCGAAATTGAAGTGGGCCCCTAAATGTCTAGAAGTGCACCTCTTTCTGGAGGAAAGTGACTCCACACTGTAGCTGCATTCTCCACTCTAAGGAAGCATTCCACACCCACGTACAATACATTTTTTTTACTACCTATAAACGTGCCATTACGGGACAGAAAATAGAGACGCAGTTTATCTTCTTTGTGTTCTCATCCATTGCAACCAGCTAAGAAGACGCCTTTTTTCATCCATTTTTGTTTGAAATAACGAATTCAGAATTGACGTTAAACAAAAAGGACGATAACACTTTTTTTATTTTAATAATGAGGTTAGTGAGGAACCATGTAATTGTTCCAAAACTTCTTGCATTTTTGTTGCCAAGGCAATGAGAAGCAGCTACACCATCTCTTCAAGTTTTTCTGTACAGAGGACCAGAGTGATGTTTCCATAAGTTTGAGATTAAAGACACTTTTTTTGCAGTTAGGCGCCGAGGTACGCTTCCATAGGCAAAAACTCCATCCCCTTGACAAACCATATTTTCATCGAAATTACAGAGGCAGTGTAGCAGCATGAAGCAAGGTTCTGCAGGCCTCTGCGTTTTTCTGTAGCGGTGAACCAAGTGATGTTTCTATAAGAACCAAATGATGCAGTGATCTGGGCTACGTTTACAATATGAAATCCAGAGTGGTGGAATATGGGCGCATCTCTTTCAGTTGTTGGTAACCTACGACGTGCTTACACTGGTTGTGGGATTTATTTGTCCTCTTCTGTCTGCGTACCTATTTGCACTGTCGTCTCCACCATGTTCTCTTACTACTTATAATGAAGGCATTGGCATGCAGGTTTCAACAACAGATGCCACCTTAAAAGATCATTTGTCAAACGACAAAGATCAAGCACCCTAATTTGACAGCCAAAAAAGACTATACAGGCTGTTTCACGCAAACCGTTATCTAAAAGTATTTAAACTCTCATTAATAATTTAAATCTGAAAATAGGCATACCAACTTTCTTATTTTAAATAGAACACCCTATATTGTATTACATTTTATAAATCTACATAAAAATATACGTCCTTTGATACCACATTTCCCTATACCCAACATCAAAGGTTTTCAAGTTATTCAAGATTTTTCAAAATTTTTTACGTTAAATCTACATAAAAATATACGTCCTTTGATACCACATTTCCCTATACCCAACATCAAAGGTTTTCAAGTTATTCAAGATTTTTCAAAATTTTTTACGTTTGACTGCTTTTCTTTAGCGTCCTGGACCTATGGCCCCATTGACTTGAATTTCAAAGTCTTCCACAATCAACAATACTGACACTGAAGTATGAGGCATCACGTCAGAATTGTTGATTTTGGAAGTCTTTTTGAAATTCAAGTCAATGGAGCCATAGGTCCGGGACGCTAAAGAAGTCAAACGTCAAAAATTTTGAAAAATCTTGAATAACTTGAAAACCTTTGATTCTAGGTATAGGGAAATGTGGTATCAACCTCCGTAGATTTTAATGTAGATTTCGAAAATACGGGTGTCTATTTAAAATAAGAAAGTTGCTATCCACATCCGGTAAAACGATAATGATAATATTTTCTTTCAATAGATCATGAAAAACTATGTTGATATGCAAATTATCAGATTTAAATTATTAATGGACGTTACTTTTAGGTAAAGGTTTGCTTGGAGCAGCCTGTATACAAGTAACACTACAAGGGCAATATCTATTTGTGCTAAAAAGGGTAAGTAAAAAATGAAGTTACCTATTAGAAGTCAAAACGACTGCGCCCACCGTCATCTTGATAAAATCTAATCTTGTCGCCTTCCTCCATTAAGACAACATGCGACTGCCCAAGAAAATTCTGCCCGATGACGATCGGTATTACTTGAACATAGTTGGGAACGACGTGAAGCTTGATGTTGGCGATGGCTCGATCGATGCATATCGGTACTTCGATGATTCCAGTAGTGGAGACCGGCTGTCCAGAAAATCCGAGCACACTCGATTTCAATTTGAAGACCTGCAACTTCAAATAGGAGGCGTTCTCTTCGCGGATTGTTGACGCCAAACTTGATGTGTCCACATAACCTCTTAACGGAATACCGTTAATGGCGACGTCGGTAAAATACTTGCTGAAGGTGGGAGTTTGCGACAAACTGCCGTGCATCACGTTGTTGTTCGTAACGAGCCCCTTCGACGCCAACTCGGAAAATCTGCGGGCCTCCCGTTCCAAACGGTCGAACTTGGTGTTGAGGTCGCATTCGGACGCGGTGTGTCCCCTTTTCTTGCACAAAGGGCACGTACTAGTGGTGCCGGGCTTCTTAGAATTCGGCTTCGAGTTTTTCATGTCAATTTTCGGTTCCTCGTGATTCACAACCGGTTCCAAGTACGTCCTCAAATATTGGTACAGCAAATCTGGGTCGTCGAAATTCTGCAGTTTGGCGTCATCCTTCATCTTGGTATTCGGCAGCCCTCCGACAATGCACGAAACGGCCTTACGACTGTAAATATCGCACGCGTTCAGCAACGCGACCTTGTGATGGAAGTACGAGGTTATAGATTCCCTCTCCTCTTTAACCCTAAGGAACATTTTCTTCAGTAGCATGTAATAGTCATTTTCAGAAGGAAACGCGATGAAAAACGCCGTTTTTAACTCGTTCCAATTTTTGCACTTGATTCCCGTGTTTAAGTACCACTGCCTCGCGTAACCGGCGAGGCGCGATGAGAGAACGTACAACTTTTCATCTGGCTTCCAATCGCGTTCGTTCGCTTTGGTTTCGATTAGCTTAATCCACTCCTGAGAGCTCAGGTTGGAGTTTTCCGGATTGAATTCGGGTATCGTCGGTCCTTGAACACCGTCCTTCGCATCGTCAAACGACGCTGCGACCTGTACTGGCGACGGAAGCCCCACTGTAGCAGTCTTACCTAAAATTATCAAGGGTAATAAGTGGGGTGGTCCCGACAAGTTTGACCAAAGTTAATTCAAAATCGTATAACTCGTCCAGTGATCGTCTTACAAGTAGTATAGAAACAAATAAACTTAGGCCTGCAGAAACTTGCAAATTTGCACCCTACAGAAGAACAGAAGGTTTACTTCTGATGGTAACTTCCAACTGTTGGCTGGTTAAAAGTAATGTCCAATCACCTTGCAGTACCACAGTCTCCATTTCATAAATACCAGTCAGCAGGTTGATCCTGGTCTACATTCACTTTCGGATCAGTTTGACAACAGTGCATATACACCGTGTCCAAGATAAGGATGTCGATCATGGGGATTTCCGAAAGCATAGTAGACAAGACCATGGTCAAATTAGGAAAAAGTTGCGCAAATAAACAGTTAAAAACCTACATTTGCAGATTTTGTTTTATTATTTTTGAGCAGATACAGAAAAATAAAGAACACTTTTTGAGCTCTACAAGACAAACTGAGATTTTGAATACAAAGTTTCGCTTTGGAGAAATCTTCACCAACTTTATTTTCTGACCCGTAAAAAAAAATACACCCTGTATTGAGCTGCCATTTTTTATTAAGAATAGGTACAACGATGTACGACACACAAAAAAAAAACAAAAGTTAGAAACTGTTGGTTTCAACAAGATGTTGTACCCGCGCACAACGCCCTAACCGTACCTATCGGACAAATTCCCTGGAAAATAGAAAATTTGTCTGATAGGTATTCTCGCAGGATTAGGACGTTGAGCGCAGATGCACCATCCTGTTGAAACCAAACAGTTTTCAACTTTTTTTGTGTGTGCCGTACATCGATGTACTCAATACAGTGTGTACTTTTTTTACGGGCCACAAAAAAAAATAAAGTTGATGATGATTTCTTGGAAGCGAAACGTTGTATTGAAAATCTCTGAACGGTGCCTTGTAGAGCTCAAAAAGCGGCAATGAGAAAGTGTTTTTTTAATTGTTTGAATCTGTTCAAATAACATGAAAAAAAAAATAAAAACGAAATCGGCAAGTCCCGGTTTTTTTGGTATTTCTTCGGAACTCCTTTCCCTAATTTAACCATCGTCGTATCTTCTATGGTTTTCGAGACCCTCAAGATAGAAATTCTTATCTTGAACACAGTGTATGCCACTTCCAGAAAGTTCCATATTTTATTAGACAGTATAGTACTGTACTATAAGGTGCCAAATCCACACAGTGTCATTGGGTAAATATGACAAGATTGAAAAAGCAGCAAGAGAGTGAAAATTCGCTGACAAAGTCTTCTAAAGCAAAATGTTTTACCATGCCATTTAGAACCAGATGGAAAAAGAAGTTGAAACCTTTCATTTTGAAGTTCCTCATTCACCAAATGTAAAAGAGCAGAACAGCACTTACCTACTGTTAGTTACGATTAAATTCTTTTGTATCACATGAACTCAAAAGACTCGTACAAGTTTGTTTATTTGAAGGTGGGTACTCGTGGGGTACTGTGCGGAGAGGAGGAAATTGAGCTTTTCAAAATGTGTCCAAGAAGCTTAAGCATTTGTTTGGATTGGATCGACTTAGCCACGCCCACTCGTCGATTTGATCAAAACGCCCAATAGAGCAAGCTAAGTCGATTGAGGACGACCATCATCTTCAATGTCCCGCTTGTTCCCCAATGTTTTCAACTCAATCAATAGAGGGAAATGTGATCAAGGAATAGAGAACCGTAAGTCCGTCATGATTTGAACAAAACCTTCTTCAACTGGTCGGTGCTGTTGGTTTGGCTAGTAAATTATTGTAGAGGGCTCTTAGCACTTAAGTCCCGACCAGTTTCTCGGACGCTGCCCGCCGAGTCATAGAAGTAGCTTCGGCGGATCGCTAGCTGGCATGCTGTATGGTTAGAACTAGGGCGGTACCTGATCGCCTTCCAACTTCTAACTTTCGTTCTTGATAGATGAACGCGTTTTCGCAAATGCTTTGGCTTAAGTCCATCTTGCGTCTGACGTTGCAATACGAATGCCCCCACCCGCACCCATTGATCATTACCTCCGTCTGTCGTTCCACAAAATCCCAACAAAATAGAACAGAGGTCCTTCGACTATTCCATGCCAGCGAAAGTGAGCTTGCTTTACGCACTTTAATTTGTTCAAAGTAACGTTGCAGGCCCCCGCCGTGACACCCCGTAGACGAGTCCGTTGTACCGGCTGGACGTCCTGGGGTGCAACCGGCGGTCAAAGACACAATTTCGACTACGAGATTTTTAACTGCAACAACTTTAATATACGGTATTGGAGCTGGAATTACCGCGGCTGCTAGCACCAGACTTGCCCTACAATTGATCCTCGTTAAAGAATTTAAAAGTGTGCTCATTCCGTTCACGGGCCCCGGATCCTTATTTTTCGTCACTACATCCTCGTGCCAGGAGTGGATAATTTGCGCCCCGGATTCCCCGTTGCAACCATGGTAGGTAGGTGCATAACTCACTATCGAAAGTTGGTAAGGTAGACATTTGCATCAGCTTGCGATCGGCATAAAGTTATTCTGTGTCGACGAGAACGCGACAACGCCTTCCGTCTCTGGTCGTAGTTCTGCCAGAATTACCACAATTATCCAAGTGAATGTTGGTAATGAACCATAATTGATAAAAAGCCTTTTGCGGTTTCACCTTATTTTGGTATGTACTGAGACATGCATGGCTTAATCTTTGAGACAAGCATATGCCTACTTGCAGGATCAACCTTATCCACAACCACTCGAACCTTGCGAGGCCGGAGCCATGCACATGGCAAACGCCAACCTCCAATTCTTCAGTTGTAGAGCCCATCATCTTTACCAATGTGTTGAATCGGTACATCCGTTTGCTGGGGTCATTTCAATTCTTCGACAGAAGTTTCCTTTGATGTTTCAGTTGTTCGGCAATCTTTAGGACCGAATTGATCGACGGAAATACTTGCTTCACTTGTTTGATGTGGTTGGTTGGGGATGTCGGTAGATTACTTTCGAGGAGTCCTTTCTTTTGTTCCGTGTTCAAGATTTTCTTTAATTGGTCATGAGATTACTTCTTTCTGGGAGGGTGTCAAAGGGCCCATCATCTAAATACTTAGCAATTGAGTTCAGGAGTTAGGGTCCTTCGTCAACTGCACTCTGGGAGTAACCCCCATATTCTTGAGTTTGCGCGCCCAGCCGTGTAGTCTCTTCTTCAGCTTGTGTTTTGTTTAGGGTGGCTGTCAAAGAATATGGATATCAGGATTGAGTTCTAGGGTTTTGCAGGATGAGAAGGTGCGAGTGATACTAACCAGGATATTTTCAAGAAAATGAGAGTAACTATTACAATATTCTTGATTTCAACCCAATTTGTATCCTCCTGATTTCTTTCAAATCTTCGACCATACTCTTTCCCCCTTTCGCCTTCCATTTTTCCTGAGAAAATTCTGTGTAAGAGTGAAAGCGAGAGTGAAAGCGGCTGTACCCTGCTGTAAATCCTTCACGTTTTCGTCTGCAGAATCAGCCATCTCTTCTTTGTCCAGGTTTCTTTCCCCAGTTTTTTGTTGAGCAGAGTTTCTAAAAACTATGGTCTATCATCTAAACAGTAGGGGGGCGGTCATTTTCTTAATCCACTTCATTTATTCCTAACCCCTTTTTATTAGGAAGCGTTATTTGATAGGAATTGAACTCGATCTTTGGCCTTGCCCTTCTTTCTTCTACTCTTCTTCTTCCACGTTCGCTATTTAAGAAAATTCCGTTAAGGTAACACTCGGGTTATCAGAGCTCTTCTATGCCTGGTCGTTCTATTGTTATGTTCAGAATGGGTTGTGGTGCTTTATGGGTTTTCTTTTACTGTCATTTCGTATTATGGCGAATATTCCAGCAATCCCGATAGTCACCGAGGCGCCATGAAATATTAGTCATCGGCGATAAACAACGAAGGCGGATGTGACGCAATTTTGCATAGAAACATGACGTGTGTGTTCTAGAACATTCTGAAGCGTCGTTGAGCACTCGAGAACATTATAGAAAGAATTTTTTGCAATATAAGCAAATCGAATTGTGTTTCGGGTCAGTTCCAATTTCTACGCCGAAGTAATTGTTATAAATTGATTCATTTTGACATAAATTTATTGTTAATTATTTGTAATTAAATAAAGCACGTAATTGAACTTTATTACCTAGCGACGTTAGCGACTATGTGCTCCTGTGGACGATTCCTCCATCGTTAATTTAAATGACATTCTTCATTTGTAAGGGATGGTTGAATGGTGACAACAGTGAGGTGAATTTGTGGGACCTCTTTTCTCCTTTTCGTCTGCACTCACCATCCGAACCTGAGCCTTCTTCTGTTGTTTTTTCAAAATGAATTTACTAGGTCTTGAGAGATATTCTATATCGGGATCTTTTCAACCATGATGGATTCATATTTCTTGATTGCAACAATAGCGACCTGTAAGTTCACCAAGGCGACAAGTGCAAATGAGAACTGCTGTCCTGCTACCAGTACATCACCGTGCTTCAAGTCGTATGTTTGAAATTTGCAGGATACGAAAACAAAGACAATTTCATTGAAAATTGTGCGGTCCTCCACCAGGACTTCCGCCACACTTAAGTTGGATCAACCTATTCAGTGCTTGCAATTTCAACAGGCCCAAGTTTAAGAGTTTTACTTACGTAAAATCCTAGATTTGCAATATCACCAAAAGTAAATTACAAGTTTTATGTCTGTATTGACAGTCGGAGACAGGGGAGGGAACTTAGGGCAAGCCTATTTGAAACATCATCTTAGGGGAAGCATAATGAATCTTTTGGAACATAAAATTTGGTCTTTTCAAAAATAAAATGTACCGTGTGTCCTATTTTGGTCGAGACTGCACTGTATCTCGGCTGTTTTTAAAGATACATACTTGCGGTTTTCGCGACCTTGTGTTTTGTGAAGCTTTTAACACCACAAACAGAATCAATCTATCTACGTTTATTTTTGAGATACAGGGTGAAAACAAAAAGTTTAACTTTTTGGGATGTTATCATATCTTATTGCCCATACAACATAGAAAAAAGGTAAAAAATGCCTGGTTTAGATATTTTTACGTAAAATCCAGTAGCGTAGTCAAAAAACATTTTTGGACCACCGTATCTGATTTGACCCAAAATTGGTATTTTTTAAATGCAACACCCTGTATATCTTAACGTCAATTTTTGCATTCTTTTTCCCGATTACATTCATGTCTAACAAACCTATACATTTTTTTATATTTTAGCCATAAACCAAAAATAAAAACCTCATTTTTTACTGCTTTTAAACAGTAGACCATGAATTCAAGGAGATTTCGTTTTGTTGCCGATACCAATCAATAAAAATGGTTGACCGTAGAAACACGTCATTTCAAAAATTTAAAAAGATAATATATAATATACATTGGTATTTATTAAGAAGTCGACATAGGGATTTATGTGTATTGTTTTCCCTATGTCGACTTTTAAATGACAAATTTCTTAAAACAAAGCAATTTGGCTGTCACATTAATTAATTTAAATATTGTTGCTTTCGCTTCCGTATTTTTATTTTCGTGTGCGATGTATTCAAATGAAGAAAAGGTTGATATTGTGCCGGTAACAGTTTAAGGAGCGTAAGTGATTTATATTCTGTTAAGCCAAAGCAAAAATATTCAAACTAATTAATATGACAACCAGATGTTCATTTGTTTCAAAAAGTTATAGGAATCAAATTGGGTGCCCTTCAAAAGGGACTTTGTCTTTTAAAAGTAGACAGGCAAAAACAATAGACATAAATCACTGTCTATTTCTAAATAAATATCACTGTACAATACAGTGTCCAAGATAAGGATGTCTATCAGGAGGATCTCAGAAACCACAGAATATATGATGGTCAAATTGAGAGAAATATGCGCAATTGAAGGGTTATCATTCTTTAAAGAAAACCAGAAAATTCCGATTACTTCTAAAGATGTGTCAGAAAAACCAACATTTGCGACGTTTTTAAATTTTTTTCTGATGTTATTTGAATTGAACAGACACAAACAAAATAAGAAACACTTTCTCATTGCCACTTTTTGAGCCCTGTTGAGAGATTGCTCAATATAACGTTTCGTTTTGGAGAAATCATCAACTTTATTTTCTTATATAGCCCGTAAAAAAGGTACATACTGTATATAAAAATATAAAGTTGATGATATCTCCGAAATAAAACGTTGTAGTGAAAATCTCAACAGTGTCTAACAAGTGACTCAAGAAGTGGGAATGAGACTGTGATTTTTCTTTTTTTGTACCTGTTCAAATATCATCAGAAAGAATAAAAACGAAATCGGCAAATCTCGGTTTTCTGACATATCTTCGAATATAATCGTAATTTTCTGGCTTTCTTTAAAGTATGATAATAACTATTTAATAGCGCATCTTTTTTTCTAACTGGACCATTGCCGTATCTTCCATGGTTTCAGTATCCTCATGACAGACATCCTTATCTCGGACACAGTATAAAAAAACAAAGGTTGTAATACATCAATGTAATCAGAAAAAAGAACTCAAAACATTAGCTATAACATAAGATATACAGAGTGTTACATTTGAAAAATACCAACTTGCGACCAAATCTCAAAAACGGTGGTCCAAAATTTTTTTTACTACGCCACTGGTTTTTAAGTAAAAATATCTACAAGCAGTTTTTACCTTTTTTTTTCTTATATGGGTACTAAAATATGATAAAATCCCAAAAAGTCAAACTTTTCGTTTTCACCCTGTATCTCAGAACCAACGTAGCTAGCTTGATTCTGTTTGTGGTATTAAAAGTTTCACAAAAAAGTGACCAGGGTCGCGAAAACCACAGGTCTCTATGTTTAAAAACAGCTGAGATACACGTCTCAACCAAACACTCAAACACACAACATTCTACTATACAGTGTGTAAGAGATAGGGAGGGCCACTATAGGCATTCTAGAAGGGATAAGTGACATAAATTTGTTAAAATGGGAGAAAAGTTGCACAACGAAAGGTCTAAGAAGATAGCGTTTAGAAACCCCTGAAAATTGTTTTGGTTTTTGAAATATTTTGAAAAAAATCGGATTTTTCGATTTTACGAACTATTTATTCCCAGCGTTAATATTTGACCTAGAGCAAAACCAATGACACTTCTCCACAGCATACTCTTTAAAGTGGAGTTGTAATATTTTAATCCAACGTTTCGTTAAATATCAACACCAGAAAAAAATAATTTCAAAAATCAAAAAATATTTCGGGGATTTCCAAGACCTCCTTAGATCTTTAAATACGCAACTTTTCTTCCATTAAACCAAATTTGTTTCTCTTACCGTCTCTAGAATGCCCATACCCTCCTTATCTCAGACACAGTGTATATAAGACTGAAACAAAATCAGTTTACGCCGAAAACGATGTCTTAAGTATTCAATAATTAGTATTTCCTTACGCCTCTTTCCTTTACGCGCATTGCTTCTAGCCTGTTGCTTATGAGATCTGATTCTACGTTTCTTAACCTTCCTCTGCTTGTATCGGTCCATCTGGCAAACAAGAGCAAGTTCAATAGGGGTTGCGGCAGTGGCAGGTAGGCGATTCGCCTGTGAAACAAAAATTCTGAAATAGTCAGTGATCAGCCATCTGAGTAAGTTACCACCGACACCAATGCACACTGTGGGGTTAGTTTGGAAGGTAGTTACATCCCAATGGAGATCAATGTATATTTCAGAGCTTGTGTTTACAGTGATGAGTTATTTTTGAAATGTGATGAGAAGACGATAGACTAAGGACAGGAACCCACACTTTACAGAAAGACAATCACAGGGATATTTTCATTATTTAATATTTAAATTAAATATTTATGAGAGTTTCCACTGCCGCATTTTATTTGTTTTTGATTTTTGTAAAATAAACTGAAACAACTAAAGTGACGAAAAGTAAGTGGCTTCAATAGGTCCATCCATAATCCACAACACATTATAGTTTGAACTTTCTACCTAAAGACCATTCAAACAAAATGTGTATGTACTCCAAAGTTTGCTTGTTTTATCCTCCTAGTCGGGAACATTTAAAGGCAGCATTTTTTTATTCTTTCAGTTGAAAATGTTCTACCATCAGAAGAGCTCTTCCAACACAATTTTCGTTGATGAAAATCTGCTTAATAATTTGACTCAGATTTTGCTCCTCCTGAAAGTTGTAGGGAAAATTACATTTATTTAATATTGATAATAATGATAATGGAAAAAACACGCGTTTTAGGCCTTGTTCAAAAATGGGTAGCTAGCACAAATACTACCACCCGCACACCTGCGCAGGCGCGTTCTGCCCAAAATCTTTTCAGCTCAAGCATAGATTAAAATTGTTTTTTTAATCTATGGCTCAAGTAGGTAACTCCTGAAACTCAATATCAATAACAATTTGATCAATATTTGTCGATCAAATGATCCAAAATTGTTGTATCCAAAAGAAATTCTTTTGACGCAAGAAACAAAGTGTATTAAAATATCAAAAAACCTTTCCAAAAAATTGCTGTCAAACAATCCAGAACAAATCACCATTGGTCAATAGTTTTATCCCCACTCAACTGAATAAGACATGCAAATTTAAGATATAATGATCTTTTTCATGAAGGCGACAGGGCCTCGTTAAAAATGAGCACCTGGGGTAATAATAGGCGGCTCGGCTATGAAGCTTAGTACTTGCAACAGGAATTCGTTCCATATACTTCTAAGTGGTTCTTACACTTAATACCATAAAACATCGTTAGATCTACTGTAGAACTGATGGTCAATTTTCTTAAAACACAAAAGTAGGAAGTTTGATTTCATAATTTGGTAGTACTTTTGTGTCAATCTAATCTGGTACCTTAAAAGCGAATACTATCTTATATAACGATCATTGGAGCAGACTTTGAATGGCCTTCAGTCAAGGCTGTTTCAACACCTACAAGCTCAAAAAACGCACCTGACTGACTCATAGATCTTGCACTCGCAACACTTTGCCCTACAACCCCTTTCGTCGAATTAACCGGCAAGCCAAAGTCCTCCTCATCGTGATCATCCATGACAACCATAACGTCCTTACCCCACGACTGTTTCGGGGCCGACGTGAAACCTTTCTCCGCTCCTCTAAAATGTTCGGTGTTAAAATCGCTCGGAGGAAATCTCGGCGGCGGCGAGAACTTCACAGGAGGCTGCTGCCAAGAGCGAGTCATTTCCGGAGGGAAGGCTGTCGGCTTTTCAATTACCGCGGGTGCCTTTGGCTGCTCGAAGTGCGCCTGTCCCTCGTCTGAGAATCTAGAGAAACGAACGTGCTTCCTATCGGAACTGGAGCTCCTACGTGCGGTTCCCTTCGGTCGCGGACTTCGGCTACGCTGAACCCGCGGCTCCCAATGGCTTTTTTTCATGTCGTTGTTACGCTCGAGCGGTCTTCTTTGCTCGCGACGATTATCTATATCTCCTCGAAAACCTCCGGAGCCCCGCACGCTGGAGGCAACTTCAGCGGCATGCATTCGAGGAGGGGTTCGAGAACGCGGTCGTCGAGTACGATATGACATCATGCACGGATATTATTTGTATACTTTACCTATACATGAGAATCAAAATTTAAACAAAAAGACTCAGAGGATGGCCCATCAGTTGTTAACTTAACTGCTAAATTAGGATAATGGAGTAATACGGTAAAATTTACTTACCCTTAAAGATAACCGGCGATCACCAATCAACCCAAACGTTATCTGCCTGATTTTGAATTTAACCCCGTTATTGATGTTGAGTTGAATTTAATCAGGAATGGAGAACAGCCAACAGCAGATCGAAAGGACGCTTCTGGATAAAACTACCCCAAGGGAATTTGTTTTTGTACTAAATTGGATGCAGTCATTAGCAGAATTTGAGGTTATGTTGAGATAATGCACTGAACTATAGAGTACATGAAATCAAGTCATAGGATGCGTCACAAACATAATCAATAAGTTGGTCAATGGGTTTGGTTTTAGTTTGTGACATCAAATTTATATTGGTACTTCACTTTTTATATACCGTAAATCTTATATTAAATCTCAAAAAAGAGAATTCCGGCAGTTTCTCGCATTAGAACTTACCTTTGTTTATCTTGTCATGGATTTCTCTGTCAGTTGAACGTTTAGTTTCTAAAAAATGACATTCTTATTTTGAGGAAAATATGCCTTTGTCGCAGCACCAAAAAGGCTTGCCGTATGTGCGGACATTTTTTAAAAATTAAAAAAAAATGTGCTATTGTTTTGCGTTTTGTCCGTCCGTCCGTCTGGCCACTTCTGCGGTATTTGAGCTACTTTTAGGGGAATCCTGAAATTTTTTTACAATATGTAGGCCTATACCCTTGGAGGTAGAAGGGCTTTTGGTTGTACATGGGGCTTGAACCCTCGACTGGTATACTGGCTTTACACTGCAGTGATAAGGCCAATAATACTGTATGGTGCACTTGTATGGTGGCCTGCCATGCGCAGGGTAACCTACAGGAAGCAGCTAGGAAAGGTCCAGCGACTCGCCTGTCTGGGAGTCACTGGAGCCCTAAAAACCACGCCAACCTTGGCCATGGAGGCACTTCTGGGACTAGAGCCTTTACACTTAGCTGTGGAGGCAGAGGCTCGGAAAGCTTCCATACGGCTAAACGATTGGGATGAATGGAAGGATCGAGGCAGCCTTGGGCACGGGCGGATCTGGGAGGAAACCCTCAGGACCGATCCCCTCCTCGCAAGGAGGGACGTGATCCGGGCTATCTTGCTAAGACCAAAGCGTTATAAAGTCATTCTCCCGGATAGGGAGCAGTGGCTGAACTCGGATTGCCCGTTCCTCAAACCTGAGGGGCTCGTGTGGTTTACAGACGGGTCCCAAACAGAAAGGGGAACGGGCATGGGTATATATGGTGATCGACCGAGAGCCAGCGTCAGCGTCTCCCTTGGTCAGCATAGCACCGTGTTTCAGGCAGAGATGTTAGCCATCATGACCTGTGCACAGGAAAACCTCCGTAGAGGTTACCGTAACAAGCATATATACATATGCAGTGATAGTCAGGCGGCGTTGAGGGCCCTGTCGGTAGACAGGTTCCGATCAGCTACGGCGCTTGATTGCAGGCGAACCCTAGATAGATTAGGTGAGTCTAATAGGGTAAGCTTGATTTGGGTGCCAGCGCACTGCGGAATAGGGGGCAACGAAAGGGCGGACGAGTTGGCTCGCGAAGGCAGTGGTGGGGTCTTCGTCGGGCCCGAGCGTACCCTAGGGATTGCTCCTTCCGTTGTTAGGGCCAGGATTAAAGATTGGTTGACCAGTCAATTCCAGGCTCAGTGGCAACAAGTAACCGGACTCCGGCAGTCCAAGGCCTTTCTAACAGGGCCCCTTGGCAAATGGGGGTCTTCTAAGCTTCTAAAACTGAATAGAAGCCAGATTAGGAAGATCACCGGTGTCCTTACGGGACACTGGATGGTCAACTATCACCTGCATAACATTGGGCTCGCGGAAAAGTCCACGTGCAGGTTCTGTGGCGAGGCAGATGAAACTACCGAGCATGTGGTCTGTCACTGTGACGCTTTGATCAGGGACAGATATCAACTCCTTGGAGACAGATACCTGGAACCGAGGAGGGTGAAGCAACTTAGGCTAAACAGGGTCCTATCCTTCATTGAGAGGAACGGGCTCTGAACTCAGTTGCGAAGAAAGGGGGTAGGCACAATGGGCCTCTGGTGTGCCTAAGTGCTGCCCGGTCGGGCTCCCCTGCGAATAGAATAGAATACCCCGTGGAGGTCCCCATGAATTATTTCCTGGGAGGCTGTTTTTGGACGTGCACAACTTATACATGCGACAAACCAACTAATCTCAGAATTTGCCATACGCATATACGTTTAGTGGTATCAAGTAAAGTTTTTGAAAATGGGAGGGGGAAGGGGAGGTGAACACACGTACTTACTACGCATCCTTCACGGTATTCTAATAAAAGATTGATTTCTACAAAAAAAAATACTTTCCTGTGGACTCTTTTCCGAGAATCAGTAGGTGACGGGGGGAGAACGGAGGGGTAGAAATTAATTTTAAATCTTTCATGATATGGCAATTAAAGTTCTCCAGCAAAAGGAATAGTTTTCTACCAACTTACTTTCAGACCTCCTTATCAAAAAGATGAGTTAGGGGGGGGGGGGGGGGGACTGATTTTATCCTTCATGGTACTCTAATGAAAGGTTTCAACGAAAGGAATTAATTTCTACCAACCATAGCCTCCCTCTCGGCTCCTTATCGTGATCGGATATAAATTATTCCTTATATCTCAAAAAGAAGAACAGATTGTCGGAGGACGGTACTCACAAAGGGTGATTGGGTCGTCTGATATTCCGTTGAAAATAGCTGCATGATAACCAAGCAGGAAACATTTAGAAGAAGAATCAAAGGTGGCAACAACCTTTTATTGAAACATTCCATTTCCATTGCGGTCTCATTGCTGGAATAACTGGAAGAAGTTATCTCAAAATTACAAAAGCTATCATTTTGTTGGTGAGCAAGGTTCACACAAGAAATGAATCCGAGTCATATTAATGTTTTAGGGAGAAGTAAAAAAGTGAAATAATCAAGACTGTGGAAATTAAGTTGTACAAATCAGATTAAGCAAGTAAAGGAATTATCACATCTAAAAACTATGCGCAGATGACTAATTTTGGGTGTGCAGGAGCAGCTCAGTGGCGCACTAATAGGTGCAATTAATAGAATATGAATAGTAGGGATGCGTGATCTTTCGCCTTCTCACGTGTCGGCACCTGTTGACAGTTGTTGATTTCCAGACCAGATCCCTAGTCTTGTGGATTTTGGAACAAATCAGGGACGATTTTTAGACATAGAAAGGTTTTAGATTCTCCGTGCACTCGACTTTTGCGAATTCTGTTGATTTAGTGTCAAAATATCACTTGACTAATATGAAAGACAGATTTCTGGACTTATGGCGCTTATGTATGTGATAGAAATACTTATATTCAAGTGTTGGTTTGAAAGAAAGTTATAGAACAGGCCATGTTTTACTTTTTCTGGTCGACAGTATTTGTCTTTCATTCAGTGATTGGGGCGTTTGCTTGCAAATTGACACGTCTGCCCGTTTCAGTTTTCCATAATTGAGCTTTTTTGTCTCTGTTGGTTTAAAATATAATAGCGTTACCACGGCAACCTACCGTTTATTGATTATCTCAATCTCCGCAGGTATACTTTTAACCCTTCCCTGCATCGAGTTGGGAATTAAACAAAAATTGCTTGCCCTTCAGGCGTTTAATGAGACACAGATATCGACATTTTGAATGTAGTAGGTACACAAAAAAACAGCGTGTAAGTAATGCACATCCTCATAGACATAAATTATTATGAGTGACGCACGTTTTCCCGTTCACCACACACGGAACATGCCCATAATTCATGCATAAATAAGTAAAAAAACCCATAAGCATTGCAGTAGCGCAATATTTGCCCTCAACTAATTATCTTGCAGTAAGCGCCTCCAAGTTTATTTTGGATGAGAGTGTCGGCTTTATTTAACCCAACCCCATTGGCCTTATCATAGTATGGTAGGGCTTTGCACTTTTGATACCACTTAAACAGTGTAGGGTACATCTCTGAAGATACCGGTAACAGTATACTGGATGTACTAATTGATGACACACAACAGAAATCTGCAATTGTAACTGTTTCTCCCAATAAAAATGGCCCCCGTTCGAGGAACGTGTCCAAAATTTGATACCCTTCTTTCAACGCGTACAGTTTCTCCTTCGGTATTTCTTTGACACCAAATAACAATATCGGAAACTGAAACAACGCGCGTAAGTTTTGGAAGACACCAGAGGCACTCACCAGTAAATGATCTAGTCGTGGAAGAAGCACGTTGGAATTAAAATATAATTTCTCGTCAACCACCGCTCGCTTGTTTAATTCTTGGGGGTATAAGTTCGAGTTAGATCCAAATTTTGCTACAAGATACGCGCAAATCGCGTGTCCGTCGCTTATTACTAATTCATCATCAACTAAAGTTGGAAGCCTCTCCAAAGGATTTAACTGCACAAATCGTTAACTGCGAAAAGTCTATAAGCAAAAGCACTTACCTTAATTAATTCTGAGTTTTGTTCCTTACTAAAAAAATTCACTTCCTGCAGGTCAATTGCCAAGTCCAATGCTCTCACAGTCAAAAGTACGGCACGACTAGTCGGACACACGTCGTCATAAAAAAGCTTAAGTACCATTGCTAATCACGCAAATTTATGCGAATAATAAAGCTACCGCGCCTATACTTTCTCGCAAATGACGGTTTCAGACTGATACTTTTTGTTCGATATTTCGAGTTGATTGTTCTATCGGCCTTCATGTGGTAATTCGTAATGATGACGCTCAGTTATGTGATGAGAATTGACCGAAACATTACGTGTATATAAATAAAGCGGATTGCCGCTGCGATACTTAACGAGAGAAATGAATTTTGGTCTTTTTCCTCCCATGTTTTCGTTTTTTGATCAAACTAACGCATCTGACGCGGCAACGGCCAAATATTTCGGATTCTTTACGTTTTTGGCGTTAAACTATTTTTAGGTGCAGTTTAAATTAGCTTACAGAAAGAATTTACCTACTTATTTTTATACAATGGGCCTCGGTACACATAAAATGTGGCGGAAAATTATAGATCGTAAAGTGGTGTGTCTTTGGCAAACAAAAACATAATATAGCGACATTAACTTGAGGGTAATTTATTAAAGTAGGTACTCAAATCTCAATTTGTGGATGCCAAAACAAGAATGAAAAGAATTTTAATTGAGTGTGAAGTCTTATTTTAATTGTCTGAATTGGTTTCTATGGAGTACTCTACACAGTGGGAAAATCGCAATTTACTTTTAAGACAAGACAAATACCTCTCGCATTTTTTGCGATTTGCAATGCTCTACCATTGAATTTAATAAATTCAATGGCTCTACTGAAGTTCCAATCAATGAACTTATGTCCTGCAGTGAACTTCTATTTAGGCGTTTTGTAATCACCTGATGTCTAGGCAACACATATATCGGAAAATGCTATAGGACGTTCCGGTAATTCACCCGGCCCAGCAGACAGTCACAGTATCTGTAGAAAGTCTTCACGAGACTCCATTTCCCTTTCGGGGTGGAGAACTTTTGATCGTTATGATAATACTAAATGGCCACCTCCCTTTGGCAGCAGTATCTATACAGCGCTTATGGGAGATTTACTTTAACGCATTTTTTATTCTCAATTGATCACTAACTGTCGACTGTTCGGGTGCCTTTTGTAAATCGATCCAGATGTCGACAACGGAATATCGTAGAATTTCGGGTTTTCTGCGTTATATTTGCACTATCGTGTTATTCCTGCATCATCTACTCTGAAAGTATGGTCAGTTTCAAGTAAATTGAGTGGGTACTCTGAATAGATATTGCAGTAAATTTTTACATAATTAGTTGTTGAATCCCACCATGTCATCGCCGTCAAACCGCATTTTTCAATTTGAAGGGTCGAGAGGACTTTTCTGATTGGAAATTTTGTTGTACAGGCATATTTGGAGCACGAAAGCACATAGTAACTGAGGTAGCTCCAATTTACGTCGACTCAGTATCCATCAATTCCGACGAAGTTGAAGCGACGAAAAAAGCGAGGAAAAACAAAACTGAGGTTAATAATGCTTTGTGATCGATCAGTTTTTGTTCACATTCGAGCTGCGAAACATCGACCGAGTTATGGAAAAAATTTGTCTAGTACGTATGAATATAGTAGTTCCATGCAGGGGATCGCTCTGTATCGGCAATTTAATTCGATTCGCTTGATGGATTTTGAATCGACCTAAGAGGAGAACGTACGGAAGATTATGGACACGGCACACAAGATGAGCGCCGTCGACTGGGCGATTTTTGGTTGGAAGTAGGTAGCGTTAATGCATGGCTTGTCAAAACGCTATGATCCGATGATAATGACCGGGCTGCTCCAGCCCCCCCCCCCCCTCCCCCGATTAGGATTTCTGGTTATGCCAGTGGATTATGCAACGTAAAAGTTCATTTGTGTTCAGTTGCCAACTATAGATATGGGGCAAGTCACGATTGCAGTATCGACGTGGGGATCATTGCAAAAGTTAGCGTAATTGATTTTGATTAAAGCGAAAGAGAGTTCTACGGTACCTCTAAGATACAAATTGTACTTCCTCCGAATACGCGACAAATAATATTTACAGTGTCTTCTCATTTGTTCAGTCTGTAACAGTTAAGTACCTACGTAAAACCTATTTAGTTAACGGTTACTGTAATTTTTGTTTGGGATTCACGTAGGTACATAACATCTACATTGCGCATCATATTCCGTACGTGGTAGATGGTCATTGATCCTTTTCATTTCGGCCGTGGTTGGGCTTATGAGATTGTCACTTCCTTTTTCTGGTGGCACTTGTTGATCAGCACGTTTAAGAGCATTTTCGTGTATCGCAGAAATTTTCATGAAGATGTAATTGCAATAGTTTGAAGTATTGTTTGTGGCGATTCACCAGTTTTTGCGTGATCTCGACTTAGTTTGTTGTCTCTCACGTGGAGACTATAATTGGGATTCATAGGGATTGCGCATATGTAAGTGGCTGCCACAGTGACGTCGGAAGTGAATAACGGTTGGGGGGGGGGGGCAAAAATCAGCGACCATGGAGTCTCAAAGGGCCCTCTCATGCAAAAGTGTGTACGAATTAATGCAAAGCAGTGGGTTTTTTATGTGACGCTGAAACCTGTTTATTTAATCAATCAAATAATGTTTTTTTGAAAGAAAAGTGTTGAAAAAAATTTAAAAATGTGTCGGAGGATGTCTAGTTATATGCAACTGAGCAACTCAGAGGTACTTGACTCGATTGAGAAAACCATAGCCATAGATCATTATTTTATTTAAAAAATAATGAAGAACTACAAAAGTTACAAAAATTTTGTTTCTATTTATTACACTATGGAGCATTGTAAAGAAAAGCTAGTATAAAAAATTAAATATATTCAAAAATTTTCCGCCTTTCCGCAGTTTTGCTGCAGTAGAAGACGTGTTAGTCGCTTTTGAGTGATTTATCTACTCACTCTTAGAGGGGGTGCGGTCCCCCTTGTGTAAAAACTGAGGGGGCGACTCGCCCCCTCTGACCCATACTTCCGGCGTCGCTGGGCTGCCATTTTCTTAACCATTTCGTCGTGCGTTACCATTCGAAGTTGAAGCAACTTGTCCATCATGGCCGTATCAGTATTTTCTAATAACACTCTTAATAAGTAGAGGTATGTTAATGTTTCTGATCGAAGGGTTGCATGCGCCTTCTTTGGGGGTTTTCGAGTACGTTTTAATTACATACTTTACATCCACGTTAATTGCGCGTTGTCAACACCAGTTTCTCATTAAGACACCCGATGTACCAGACAAAGGCCATTTCGTTGTGGAATCTACGTGAGTGCAAGGTCTTCATTTAACCGGCCTAATCTGCAGTCTACGCTTGAGGCGTAGATAGGGAATTAAAATAAGTTCGTGATTAATTGTTATTATTATTGTTATTTCAAAGACAATTCTCTTAAAAATGTATTTGTTCATAATTCTTATTATTTTTCGTCTACGATTTGCTTAATAAAAGAAAAATTTGGACGGATGTATGTGTGCTTTGGTTAAAAGCAGTTGTAATTTTATTGTGTTCATTGTGTATATTTCTGTTTTGTCTTTCGTTTATGACATCCATATACAGTAGGTAATTATATGATGTGTTAGCTTATTTGCCAAATTACCGGCATTCTACAGATGCATTAAAGTATTGTCATTTATAGCGCATTACAAATACAAATAATTGCTCTTTTACAATTATTTATTTATTTATTGTCCCTCTCTTGTTCCAGGCCCTCAACAGGCTTTATTACAGAGTGACCGGCATAATAATTTTTAGAGGTGCCTCTGCAGGTCTTAAGTTGTTCTATACCACTCCGATATTTACCTTACGAATTAGGAAAACTGCAGGAAAACTTAATTCGGAGTAGGTAGCCGGCAGAAAGCTCGAAACTGATCTAAGGAAATTCCCATCTCTGCCACAGATGAAAAATTCACCTTAACCCAGGTTCGAACACCCGACCTCTTGGCTATGTAGCCCAATGTTCTACCACTGAGCCACACAGACGAATAATAACGGATGCTGATCATACTCATAATGAAACGCACAAAGATACGGCAAGATTTTTCTACGTAAATATGTTGTTTTCCAGTTTACACCTTTACAATATCGCTATAGTTAGACAAGTCACCCTTTGTTCGTAGCGCAGGTTTTACCTGCCAGTCCCCTGTATGAATTCATGACAACTTTACGTGTTTTGATCTTATTCTCATATGTCTATGTTTATATTTATAGATACAGTATGTTCTCTTAGGGATGATATTCAATGAAATATTTTCGTGGATGGTGCTGTATTTGGAAACATTGTTTAGTTATAATTGAATTTCTTGCAGAATATTTCCTTTCTTTTGCATGAATGCTACTGTTTATTGTTTGTTATATTGTCTGTTATATACTATTATTATTAATGTTAAAAAAGGTAATTTTCCATTTCTTTTGACGAGTGTACCTATGTGTAATTCACACTTTCTCATAATTAAATATTATTATTATTATACAAACTTATGTGAATTTAATGTAATGTTTTCATGATTGTTATTTTATGTTATGTGTGTCAAATATTAATTCTTTAGGAATTTTAGTGGAGTCTATAATTCGACTTAATTTACTTGACAACCATCATAACATGCATTCATGCCATTACAAACAACTAATTTTACTATAAAGTTTAACATTAATTTGTTGGCTGGTTTTTTTCCTGGTCAGTTCTTTTTTCCCAACCTATTTGTACTCGCGGTGAACTACCATTTTCTAGATGTATTCTGCGATTGCGATTTATTTTGATTAAATTTCCGTTTTTAAAGTATGTACTTGTTTTATTTGTATTTATTAATGTTACGCATATAATTAACATGGAACATACAAACCCCGTAACTATACTGCCTACGAGTTTGGTATTTGCCCATTTGGTGGACCATACCAGTAGGATAGTAACCATATTCATTCGCAAGCGAAATGTTTAAATATTTATAATTTTGTTAATTGCCCTTCAGAATTAATTAGAGAATAAATTGTCTATAATGGCGCATAAAATAATTTAATGGAATCGACGGTTGTCAGAAATGATTGCAAAACTAATATAAAAAAAATAAATTTTAACGTCGATGACGAAATTGAGATAACGAATCACTGGACAAACAGGACCCTATTTTCAATGGTGAAAAACGCTAAACCAGAATATTCATAGTAAAAAAAATTTTTTTTATTTATTTATTGATAAGGTGTGATATGTAGTGTAGTGTAGAGTGGGATTTTTTCACTTGGACCTATACTCAATACTGTGTCGACGATAATGAACGATAGATACCTCTCTAGGTAGCAAT